CCACTCTGCTCTGTGCATCCGAAAGACCTCTCCTAGGGAGGTATGCAAACTGGGGTAGAGGCTTCATGTATGGCAGCGTGAAAGGCTCCAGGAGCTCCTTGGCCGTGCCCGCCAGTCCTTTAGCATCCGGGCGAAGAATGCCCAGCGGCCTGAGTTGTGAAGGCTTGTCAGCCGGCTTGCCCGGTTTTGGGATTAAGCAGAGATCTGCGCGAGTCAGATCGTCGTCCAGTGACTGGTCCTGCGTCAGGCTTGAACAGTATTGTGAAAGCGCCGCAGAGATCGGCTGAGCACAGAGCTTCCAGGCTGCGGCCGGTGCCGCTCCTTTCGGAACTGCCTTGCTAGGCTTGATCGAGGCAATATGTTTTGCTAACTTGGTCTGTGGCAATAGGGGCAGGAGTCCCGAATCAGACGGGAGCTGTGGGTGCGCCGCAAAGACCTTAGTTGCATACTTCCCCAGTTCATCCAGTTCGTTTGCAGGACTGAGCAGGAAGCCGTGCGCGTCCTTAAGCTGAGCTTTCAAAGCCGGTTTCCACGGCCGGAGGTGCTTAAGAGTCTGATATGCCAGGTGCTGATCGCCCTGGCTCAGAGCCTGATCAACCTCAGCAAGAAACCGTTTGGTCTGGTCCTTGCGAGCCTGCTTAACCGCCTGTTTATGCTGATCACACAGCCTCTGCCGGGCTTCATCCTCCGGCGATGGCTCCGCACTGGGGTGAGCATTGCTCCCACGCGCCGAGCGCCACATGCGTCTGGCAAGGCTCGTCTCCGGACTATCTGGCATTGCCACTGGGGTCTTAGGGAAAAACCTGGATGCGGCTTCGCCAAGGAGGCGATCCCATGACGCCGGCTGCATGTCCGGAGTGAGTCGTGCTGTAACCCACTCGAGCATGTGCTGAGCTGGCAGCGTGTTGTCCCTGACAGCCGCTTGCAGAGCAGCGGTGTCATAATGATGCTGCTGTATCTGAGGGGCTGGCAGGTTCCAGTGCCGAACTGGTTTGACAGCTGCACTGATGGGTAAGTGCCCGCCTTTCTTCCAGCTTCCAAGCGGGAAAGCTGCCAGCGGCGTAGAGTTTTTGGCAGCTCCTCCAGCAGAGACCTCCCTCGTAAGCACAAAGTCAATTTGAGTGCGCGTATCCCCTTGCTGAAACGTATGTGGCGGCTGAGGCCTCCACGTGTTGAGGGCAACCAAGCGATGATTAAGCAGAAAGTTGGTAAGCTCTGGCTCATCAGATCTCGGTTCCTGTGGGCTAATGATCTCTGGACCAACCAGCCTAGGCTGCTTTTGCAAGGAACTATTGAAATCTCCTGCCAGGATAAGCGTGTCCCTGTGCGGCACGCGTTGCACGCATCTGCTAAGAGCCTTCAGGACATGTGCTCTGTCCTGACGATTGGTCTGTACCTGCTTGGCCGGTGACCAGACGTGTTGATACACAGCAACCAGGTTGATGCGGGCCCCGTGCCAGTCAAACCTGACCTCCAGGGCTCTGCCTATGACATGTTCCTGCCAGCGCACACTTTTGGGCAGTATGTGTGGGGACAGGAAAACCATAACCCCGTCCGCGCGAGTTGTTGAGGGCTCCTTGCGGGGTGGGGTCATCTTATCGTCATTAGGCATTGCCTCTGCAGGTGACTGTTTATGGGCCTTGCCCCCGCGTTGCTTTCGTCTAGAGGCCTTCGGATCTGCAGCAGAAGCAGACGAGATGCAGTACCAGCCTGCAACACTAAATTCGGCCGTAGCCTGCCAGTGGGTCTCCTGCAGGACGAACACATCACAGGTGTGGTGTGCCTCAGTGGAGAGCCATGATTTGACTTCCGACCATTGTTGCTGGCCAAGATGGCCTGCATTCCAGGACAGTACTCGGAGAGGCCTGGTGGCCTGTCCTGCCCGAGATCGTGGTGCAAAAGACTGCTTGGAGCCCGGCTGCGGTGGGCAGTTGCCCATGCGCCTGAGAAGAGCTGGGGTCAGAACCTGACCTCGGTAAGAAACAGGCTGCTGGCTTGCAGCCACCTGTCGGCAAACATGCTTGAAAGAATTCTTCCTGATCTGAAAATAATTTTGTGAGTGCACTGGGAGCAGCGCCATCCGCGCACTACTACTACTACTACTACTACTACTACTACTACTACTACTACTACTACTACTACTCCTACTGCGACTACGACTACGACTACGACTACGACTACGACTTCTACTTCTACTTCTACTTCTACGACCCCTGCGTATCTGACGGGCAGATAGTATCTGACGGCCTGACAGGTGGAGCGGCGGACCCGAGGGGGGGGTAGGTAGATAGATAGACAGAAAGTTTGTCACGGGCAGAAACCGCTAACCTCCAACCACCCTGGTATCTGACGGGTAGATAGTATCTGACGGCCTGACGGGTGGAGGGGCGGACCCGAGGGGAGGGTAGGTAGACAGATAGATATAGTAAGTATCTAGCGGGCGGAAACCTTTAACCTTTAACCACCCGAGGTGTCGGACGGGCAGATAGCATCTGGCGGTCCGGACCCTGTCCCCCCCAAGGCGGGTACCTGACGGGCGGAGTCGCTGACGCACGGAAGGGTGGACCGGAGCGGGGGCGTCGGTAGATAGATAGATAGTTAGTATCTGACGGGCGGAAACCTCTAACCTCTAACCGGTCGGTATCTGACGGGCACAAATAGTATCTGACGGGCGGAAACCTCTAACCTCTAACCGGTCGGTGTATCTGACGGGCGGAAACCTCTAACTTCTAACCGGTCGGTATCTGACGGGGACAGATAGTACCTGACGGTCGGAAACCTCTAACCTCCAACCAATAGGTATCTGACGGGGGGTTAGAGTAAGAGGTTATGTGAGGTACATTATGATTATTACTATTATTAGTACTATTCTGAAAAATGTTGTTGTTGCTGTTGTTGCTGCTGCTGTTGTTGTTGCTGCTCGTTTTCTTGTCATTGTTCTTGTTCTTGTTCTTGCTCTTCTTCTTGTTATGATTGTTGTTTTTGTCTTTGCTGTTGCTGCGGGCCGTGCGGCCAGGGCCGCGGGGCCGGGCCGCGGGCCACGGGGGCCGGGCGCAGATTATGCAAAGACTCGACAACCCCGGAATTAAAACGGTATTCAGGATTTCTAGTAGGGTTTAAAATTTTTAAGTCTGTATTCAGGGTTTCGTATCGGGTTTAGGGTTTAGGGCTGCTTTTATAGAATGTTGAATTTCAGTTGTATAGCATGTTGGCTACTCCAAACCCCTTTATTCGGAATCGCAGTCTCTGGCTTTGTCTAGGGGCTGCATTGCCGTTTTGTTCATGTTGGGCGCAGAGGCTCCCTCAACCCTACTCCCCTAAACCCCTAACCCCTAAACCCCTAAACGAGTCTATAACGCTTTAGGGTTTAGGGTAGAGGGTTTAGGGTAGAGGGCCTAGGCGGCCTAGGCTACTGGCGACACAGATACAGACACTTCACCAGGAAGTATTCCTCAAAATATCGCGGGGGTTCTTTGAGAAGGGATCCTGATTTGACTCTTGATCAATACCGATTAAAGTCTATGGGTGAGTAATGGGGCTGAGACTTTAGGGCATCGTGTGCTTCAGGGTTCCTTTGAAGGTCACGGAGCTACTTTAAGTTTTAGGGCTTAGGGTGATGGTTGGACTTCAAGCCTGTGCCGCTAGTGTGACAGCGGGGTACTAATTCGTAGGCCATAGCTCTTTGAGGGACATTGAGGGACCACAAGGGAATACGAGTACTACTTGTTCAGACCCGTGGAATAAACAAACACCCAGGAAGTGAAAGCCCCGGCAACACAGGATGCGGCCAGGCAGAAGAAGTTGCGTCTCGGAGACAAGTATCAATGAAAAAACATCATGGCCACGTCACCGTCGTATCACTTTCGTCGTTGGCATTCGTCCGCTTCGCCTGAACCTTACTAACACGAGCCGTGGCCCACTGCTTGCGCGTCTCGCCCTGTGTCCCAGAAGAGCGGGAGCGGGGCTCTTTCTCCAGCCCTTCTCCCTTGTGGCTAGCTGTCCCCGCGGGAAGCTTCACAACCGGGGGCTGCGGCACCCTCGCAGAGGGCATCACTCCAGGCACCGGTGCCCTGTTTCGGCTTTGAAACTACCTTTGGCTTTGGTGGAAGACGGGCCCTCGTGGGCGCGATCGGGGTAGCTTTGGCCGGAACAGGTAGAGGAAACGGAGGTGGAGTCATGGGAGAAAGCGGCGGTGTCTCTGGAGTCGGCACAGTGGGCGGCGGTGTCTCCAGGCGTTGGCACAGTAGGCGGGGGTGTCTCGGGCATTTGCCCAAAAACCTCATCATTCTTACTTGGAGGTTCATGGGTAGCTACAAGTAAGTAGGACAACTATACTTGCAGCCCATAATCAATGGACTTATAACCCCACTATTAACTACCCAGGAACCTCCAAGTAGAGGCTTCAGAGTACATCCTCAGCCCTTGCCACTCAGGGTTTCGGGTCTTGGTACGGCCCCCATACAGTAAGAGTCTATAATAGGGATACTATTAAGGTCCTGATATATCTGTATTATGAACATTATTCAACTATTACTGAGTGGGGGCCGTACCTAACCTAAACATTCGGGCTTCGCGGTGCTTCTGAAGAGGCGAGGAGAGGGAAGATCCTTGGGTGCATCGCACTCGGTGGTACCCAGAGACTCCGATATCCCTTCCTTAAGGAATATACTGAATATACCTTGAATATTCCTTAACGAAGGGATATCAGAGACTCCGATATCCCTTCGTTAAGGAATATACCTTGAATATTCCTTAACGAAGGGATATCGGAGTCTCTGGGTGGCCCCAGTGGGACTTAAACGACTAATGTGACAAGGACAGCTTGGGTCAGCTTGAGGATCAACCAAAACCCTGAAGAACAAGCCTCAAACACCCTACGCCCTGAGCCCGAAACCCAAAACCCAAAGCCCCACAAACCCCAAACCGTACAATATCCTTACAGAAGCCTTTCAAAGAACTCTTGCATTACCGGTTGAGGGCTGAATTGCACCAGGACCTGCCTGCTCCCAGCCATCGGCAGGCTGTGCCCGTTCATTCCTGGAGAGTCGGAGCATGGAGGCCTTAAGGCCTTAAGGTTTGTTGCAGGTTGCGGTTTTAGGGTGGTCCCCGAAAGTTGGCACATGGATTTCGTGACGATAATCATGTTCCAACTTTCTGGCACCTACTGTAACCGTGGGGTGTTTGCTTGTTTACCCTCATTGTTAACATCGATAGCCTTCAAAAGAGCCCCATTCGAATGATTCAGGCCCGTAAACCCTGACCCCCGATCCCAAAACCCGAAACTTCACCCTGCAACCCGGCAAAGTCGAGCGAAGCCGTCCCGTGGCTTCGGGTCTAAAGGTTTGGTCCATACTGAAGTAAGCACCAGGCTTTACAGTCCGGGTCGCAGGCTTGAGGGTTTAGGGGGTTTAGGGGTTTAGAGGTTATGGGTTTAGGGTTTAGGGGTTCAGGGGTTTAGGGGTTTAGGGTTTATGGTCTGTAGTTTAGGGTTCGGGGCTTACGGTTTCGGATTTTGGGGTGAAGGTAAGAGGTTAGGTTACAGTTCTACTACCTACTACTTATTCCGACGCCTCTCTCTTTTTCTCTCTCTCTCTCTCTCTCTCTCTCTCTCTCTCTCTCTCTCTCTCTCTCTCTCTCTCTCTCTCTCTCTCTCTGTCTCTCTCTATCTATGTGTATATACATACACATATATATATATAAATAGACAGACAGATAGATAGACAGGCAGACAGACAGATACACAGATAGATAGATGTCCTAACATACATACACGTATTTATATGTGTACATACATCTATTTATGTAAATACGTATCTGCATGTGTTTTCGGAAACTCCCATATGTATATGTGTATATCCTAAATCAAAGCTCGGCGAAGGCTCCAAACCCGTAACGCACAAACCCGGAACCCACAAACCCTCACACGGTTTGGGGCGTAGTTTAGGACTTCGGGTTTACTAAGCAGTGGTCCTTCAGAGTTCTTTTGCCTCTTTAGCTCCTTATTTAATGGGGATTATCATCGTCCCTGGCTCCTTAGCTCCCCCGATATCAATGGTTAGCTTACGCAAATTGGGCAGTCGCCGGCCAGGAAGCCCTTGCTTGGGAAAGGCTTGGGAGGGCCCTAAAAGCCCTCTCGGCGATTCGGGGTCCGTCCGCTGTGCCTAAAGAACTAAGCTGTGGACCCCGACACCCTAAATTCACAAACAGCAACCATAAGTTCTACTCCTTCCCATAGTGTGTGTTTTGGGCAATCCCTATACTTGGAGGGTCGGGGGACTTAGTAAGGTGGTAAGTAGAGTTGTAAGTACCCTAAACGGGATTTTAATTGGGGATAGGGTACTTATTATGACTCTATAAAAAAACTACTTACTAAGTCCCCCGAGCCTCCAAGTACCAGAAACCGTAAGCCAAAAAAGAAAATAAACAAAAATTTGCCCAAGAGCCTCAAGGCGTAGGGACCCTACGCATGACATCCCCCCTAAACCCGAAACCCGAAACCGTGAAGCAGGACGAGGGACACGAAGTTGAGCAAGTTCTTCGCGGTCCGCTGGGCCGTGAAGTCCTACACAAAAGCTCCATCGGCAACAAGGTATCAGAGGATAATTACATGCAATACAAGTATAAGATACAATGACTATTATATGGAACACTAAACATCTTATTCTTGTATTGATGAGAACACTTGGGTTCAAGGATGTGATGAGGGGTTTCGATTGAGGCTTACATGGCGCGAAGTGCTCAAACATGCTAATTCCGAACCCCGAGTTTTCTGCAAGTGAATATGTCGTAAGGTTTAGGGCTTCGGAAGTTTAGGGTTTAGAGCAACACCATTCCTCCCGGCTCCAAAACACTAACGGTACTAACGGGTCCAATATACCACAAATCGAACTTCGCCCCTCTCTGCTGAGGGCACTTGTGCCTCTCCCCTGGCAAGTCGTCCCCACACAGGCAATCGGGTACATCAGCAAGCCACGCCGCCGCATCCTCGGGTGGCCATTGCCCGTCCCAGTTGCACTCCTTCGAGGAATCCGGCTCTCGCAACACCATTCGTGGAGCCGGCATGTCCGTTTTCGTCTGGCACTGCTCATGAATGAGCTGGTCCCTCTTCGAGTGCTTCAGCCGGGAGCTTGCCAGGGATACTCCCCACCGTGGAACTCGAGCCAGACGCGCGGCGACGCCTGCTCCGAATGCGCTTCCCTGCCAGTCTGTTCAACTCTGACTCTGTCCGAGCACAAGAACAGCTGCCGCTCGCTGGTTTTGACCGTCGCCTTCAATAGTTGCAATCACGACGCATTCCCTCAGTAACTTTCTCGTTTCCGCAAGTGCTTCATGATGCCAGTTCTGCGAAATGCCTAAATCCCAAACCCTGAACCGTAAAACCCTAATCCCTAAACCCGAAACCCCTAAACCCCTAATCCCTGAACCCCTAACCGATCCTACACTGCATCCAGCCTGACCTGCGGCTTGGGTTTTGATGCGCTGCGCGGGGAAAAAAACCGACATCGCAAGCACTTAGGGTTTAGGGTTTACTCGGAGGTTATAAGTTTCCTTCTGTGGGTTGTAAGTATAGTTACCCTGCTTATAACCCTACGTATAACTACCCATGAACCTCCAAGTAGGCCCTAAAGCCCATACCCTTATAGAATCCCTATAGATCCCTTTAAAGGGACCCTCAAAAATTGAAGGTGCCGGATCCCCGTCTCTAAAGGCTTAGGGTGTAGGGGTTGGGGGTCTAGAGAATCAGGTGGGTGCGAAGGTTTATGGTGGGGTCGGAGTCGGAATGATTCGTAATCAAGGCCCCGTATCGATATGCCCCAAAACCCGATCCTGCTTTTTCATGCCCCTGTATTGCAGAACCGCCTAGAGCAACCCTTCAATTAAGAACCCTACTCTGGTTGTCAAGGCTTCTTATGTTATCCCCTAAACCGCAAACCCCCAAATCCTAAACCCAGACGGAGGGTCAAGTTGAGAGTTGCGGGAAGGTTTGGGGGAGGTTAAGGGGTTTAGGGTTTCGAGTTCTAGGGTTTAGTCAGGGATTTAGGCGTTCGGGGTTTAGGGTCTTGGAGTTTAGGGTGGAGTGGCTTGCAATTTCAATGGAAACAAGAAACTTTCCTTCAACTGCAAGAACCATACATACTAACGTCGCCACGGACATTAGGGTTTTGGAGTTTGGGGATTCGGGGTTAGGGATGTCTAGGGTACTATTGACACTACGAAACTACGAAATGCAGACGGGCTCGGTGCATTCTTGTGAACTTGGAGGGTCGGGGGACTTAGTAACTGGTTATTTTAGGGACTTATAAGTACCATAACCCTCTGAAAGAGTCCCTCAACTCACACCAGGGCCCCTCTGTGAATCCTGGCGAAGATTCTCATCAGAAGTTCAAGCCTCTAACGAAGTGCCGTCAAAAGTGCAAGAGGCTCCGAAAGCAATTGATGATATAACTCCTGCATTACCCACAATAAAGAATATACCATAATTTCCATAGTCTAGGGTCCTTAAGGAAATGCAGGATTTATACCATCAACCGTGGCTCAAAGCATGGTTCTGAAAGTCCAGCCCCCCTGCGTTCAAACAATCGAACTCTAGGTGTCTGCAATATTATAGTTGGAGAGATCGGGTTCAGGACCCTATACCCTTGACCCTGAACCCTGCGCTCCAGACTGGTTCATAGGTATTCATTGGCGCCCCCATCGATCGAATCTAGATGAGCTCCCAAAATCAATTTGGTTCCCTTTTAGGGTACTTATAAGTCTACTTACTACCTACTTACTAAGTCCCTGAACCCTAAACCCTAAACCCTATAGTACCCCTATAGAGCCCTTTAAAGGAACCCCTAGAATCCCCTTTAAAGGAGCCCCTACTTACTAAGTCCCCTAAAGACCCGCCAAGAAGTCCTCAAAGGCGTCCGAGTTGGCAGCGTGGAACCTGGTCTGCTCAAGAACCCAGAGACTGCAAGATCCCTCAATGAAGGAATAGACCCTTAACATTAGAAGGGGCCCCCACCCTGTGATAGTGGTATAATAGGAATTTAATAGGGCCCTAATATAATCCTTATAGTCACTATTACAGGGTGGGGGCAGCTGCTAACCTTAACATCATATTAAGGATCCTACTGTATTTCGAGGTATATCCCTTAATTAAGGTATATACCCTAATATCCTATTAAGGGTCCTACTATTTTTTGAAGTATAATCCTTGATTAAGGGCTGTTGGAGTCTCTGGGAAGCAGGCGTGGGTCTCAAGTGTCGGAATCTAGAGACGAGTATCCTCCAGAACAGTCTATAATAGGGCCACTTTTTAAGGTCCTACTTTAGCTATGTTATGAGTATTATTCAGCTGTTACTGAGTGGGGGCAGTACCCAAGCCCCACCACATAAAGTATCCCGAACCACCGAAGCTGGAGCTCAAGATCAGTCCCTCACTTCGGGAGGCTTCATGGGTAGCTAGAAATTGCGGGTATAAGTAGGGGAAACTGTAGTTCAGGAATAGCGCATATTCGGGGATTTATAACCACTCTTAACTTCCCATGAACCTCCAAGTACTGCGGGTTTAGGATTTATGGCCGGGGGGCTGAAGGGAATCAGCCTCACTCAGGGGTACTTTAGGTTTCAGGATTTAGGGGCCGTTAGGGTTTAGAGTTTAGGGTTTAGGTCTACAAATCAAGGTTTGCTACTGAGAATCCCTCATGCAAGCTGTGGAACGCAGGATATCCGCGCGGGGCGTTCAGAAGAGAGCCATGGTGGCTGATGGGGGCAACTCCGGGTTCCTTCTCCGGGACTTTCAGATCTGGGAGTTTCCGAACATACAGGGAACTCCAAAAAGTTGGAATATGGTTTCATGGTAGGATCCCCTATAATTTACCTTAAAGGGGCTACGATAATCATATTCCACTGTAGGGGTACCTCAGTTTGGGACCCTTATGTAAAAGGATCTTACTATTTAGGGTACTATATTAGGGCCCCCTATTTCCGGAAAGTCCCATATGAATCTCTGACCTGTCTAATAGCTGACGACACCCCTTTAAACCCCTTACAACCCACTTAAGACTCCTAAAACCCACGCGCATAAACCCCTTACAACCCGTAACAAGACTCATAAATGCCCACCCGGTGAGTCTGCCAAAGCAGCCTGACTGTCGGGAAGGAGTGGATGCCTTGTGCCTGTCACAAAGCTTTGATTTTAGGGGTCCTTGGAGGTTCATGGGTGGTTATAAGTAGGTCTAAGCAGGGGAACTTTATATTCATAGCCCATATCAGGGGACTCACAACCCCCCTTATAACTACCTTAAGCCCTACTCCCTAAACCCTAAATCCCTATAGAGCCCTTTAAAGGGACCCCTAAAACCCTCACTTATAACTACGCAGGAACCTCCAAGTCCTTCAAGCCTCCTACGATGGAGCAAGCAGATTTAGCGTTTAACAGGGACCCTAAGAACCCTGGGAATATCCTATACTTGGAGGGTCGGGGGACTTAGTAAGTAGGTAGTAAGTAGACTTACAAGTACCCCAAAGGGACCCTAATTGGGGTTATGGTACTTATAAGTCCCTAAAATAACCAGTAAATAAGTCCCCCGACCCTGAAAGATCCCCGCGTAGTAGGACCAGACAGGAGACCCGAACGTAGAAGCCCAAATAGCTACCAAGACTTTTCCTCAGGGCTAGTTTTGACATCGTACTAAGACATGCCACAACACCATGTTCTACTTATTGAGGCCTCTACTTGGAGGTTCATGGGCAGTTACCGGTAGGGTTAGAAGTAGGGTAACTATACTTGTAAGCCATATTAGGGGACTTATAACCCCCACCCATGAACCTCTACGTATACTAGAATATCCAAGGGTAAAAGGAGGGACCCTTAATAAGGACCCCTAGGTATATACCCTTAATATAGCCATTATATACCCATTATATAGCCCCATTCAAGGGTAGGGGTCCCCATTAAGGGTCCCTCCTTTTCCCCTCTGAGAACAGGGAGCCGAGGTCTCGAAGCTGGCAGTGACTTGGACAACTCAAACTGTTGCTCCTGCTGCCGCGCTCGACACTGAAGCCTTTAAAGTACTATGTACCAGAACCCTAAACCCTGCAAACCCTAAACTCTGCAAACCCTAAACTCTGCAAACCCTAAACCCTGCAACTCCCAAACCGTAACCCCTAAACCCCAAACCCTAAAGTGTCCCCAAACACTACACCTAAACCAATCACTTGTGGCATGCTTTAAAGTGGGCGCAATATAGGGGCCTCAATAATTAGCATAGGGTTTGGGGGGCCCATTATCCTTTGAGTATAATAAGGAACACCAAAATAGTATTGGTAATAATTGAGGCCCCTATACTAAACCCTTTTAATAGCCCTTATAGCAACCCGTATAGACCCCGCTAAACCATAAACCTTAAACCGTGCTAAGGCCCCTACTTGGAGGTTCATGGGTAGTTATAGGTGGAGTTATACGTCCCCTAATATGGGTTATAAGTATAGTTACCCTACTTATAACCCTACTTATACTTAGTTGCTGAGTTCATAAGCCCCCAAAAAAGTGTACACTTTCAGTTTTATAGTGGGGAATATTATCCCAAAAAGTGTAAAGTGTATCCACTCAGCTACTAGGTAGCTAACCATAAACCTCCAAGTAGATCACCTCCAACGAAGCATGGCGCCTAGCCTGGCACTCGCCGTAGTCTTTCCCCGGCTCCCAGCGGCTCCCGAAGCACTCCTTCTTCTCCCACCTTCATGGTTCAGGGTTCCTTTAAGGGTTCCTATAAGGGTTCCTTTGAGGGTTCCTATAAAGATTACTAGAAGGGGTCCATAAGGGTACTATACAAGGCACTCTTTTCCTACCTCAACCACTTTGGATTTTTTCTTTAAGGGCTTAGGGTTTGGGGATTAGGGTTTTAGGGTCTAGGATTAAGGGCATTCCTTTTCCTCCCACCGAACCATTTGGGAGTCTCCGAAAATTGGGTGTACCTATTTTGGGGATCATTACAATAAGGATGGTACTATTTCGGGTACTATATTACGAGTAGGGTCCCCTATTTTCGGAAACTCCCACTTAAGGTTTAGGGTTTAGGGTGTTCTATAGAGGTTTGTAGATTTCCGTAAGGGTTGATAGCATCTCACAGCGTTTGGGGTTCAAGGTTGAGGGTATCGGGCTCTGGAGATAAAAGTTGAGAGTTTAAGGTTCGGGGGTCTGGTGCTGAGGGCTTACTTGGAGGGTCGGGGGACTTAGTAAGTAGGTAGTAAGTAGACTTATAAGTACCCTAAAAGGGACCCCAATTGGGGTTATGGTACTTATAACTCCGTAAAATAACCAGTTACTAAATCCCCGACCCTCCAAGTATAGGGTTCTATATCAGGGTTTGGCAGGCTCTGCAACGACCTTTTCAGGGTGCTGTGGTACGACTGACGGGCTGCAGGGCGTTTCTTATCGGTTCGGTTCTAAATCCGTTCCTACCTCTAACCCCCAAAACCCTGAAACCGAAACCTCGAAAATGCTGAAAAGTCTCCCTGGCAAATTGTAACCAGTTAAGTAAGGCAGATCCCTGATTCGTAACAAGCCCGCTCTCTCTCTCTCTCTCTCTCGGCCTTGATTTTGGATCCCTGGACCAAGCCTTGTTGAAGCAAAGCGGTGTAATCTAATCCGAGGTCCACAGTGCTGTTCGGATGCAAGAGGAAGGGTCCTAAACCCTAACCCGATACCCCTAACTTTATGTGCGGTGCCGGGCCACTGCACGAGATCGCTGTTGGCATTTGGGTGATCCTCCTTCCACATGCGCTGCGCATTCTTCCAGACCTCAGGGGGTTTCAGGCTCCTTCACTTGGAGGTTCATGGGCAGCTAAAAGTAGGATAGCTGTACTTATAACCCATACTGAGGGACTGATACCCCGCTTACAACTACCCCTGAACCTCCAAGTAAGGCTTCAGCTAAAGGTTCTACAAGGGTTGTGAGCTTCGGGCTTAGCTGAAGGCCAAAACGCTTGCAGGTTTTGTCGTGTAGGGTCCAGGAATTCAAGCTTAGGGCCTGTAGGCTTCGGGGCCTGTAGGCTTAGAATTTCAGGGCTTTAGAAGCTTAGGGTCTAACTTTTAGAGCTTAGGTCTTTGAGGGTGTAGCGGTTTCGGGTTCGGGTTGTTAGGGTGAACCCTCGACCCTGCCAGGAGCTTGATGCTCTTTCGGCCACCCTGAAATCTATGGGAATGTCTCGTGCTTGGCCGATACTCCCGTCTGAAAGCTTTAAGCTGCGGATCGAGGGTCCCAGTCAAGAGCTTGTGCCAGAGAAGATTTGCAGGAGGGGCAGGAGGGGACGTGTAGGGTTCAAGGTCAATGGCACTGGGGCTAAGAGCTCAAGTCTTGGGCCTCCCTGGGGCCCTGAACCCCGAAGCAGCCCTAAACATCTGAAAAACACTGCGCTTCTCGGCGAGAGGCGGGGTCCAGGTGCTGACAGTGGACGCAGTCCTGGCATCAGCTTGCTCTCGGCAGAGCGCACCAGGTTGAGCGACACGAGTAAGAGGTTCAGGGAATTATGGCCTACGCCGTGACTTAGGGGTTGCACCGATATCTAACTGATGATGACGACTATCGTTACTGTCCTTGGTGTCGTCGTATTCTTGCCCACCGTTGGCTTCGGTGTCCAGAGACTTCGAGGCTTCAGGGTGCTAGGATCTTAAGGTTTATATAGGGGCTTGTGGTGTAGAGGTCAGGGTACAGGGCTTACGTCGTAATAATCAGTAGCGATAAGGACGACAATTACAACAATACTGATACTATGAGCATATAGTAATGCGATTAATCAATGAAGCAGCTTGTTCGATATTGTCCTGACTTGATCTCGACCCGAAGCTCTGTAGCTCCGACCTCACAGAAACAAAAACTCCCCTCGGCCGACCACTAAAGGATCTGAGAGAGAGAGAGAGAGAGAGAGAGAGAGAGAGAAAGACAGAGGGAGAGAGAGAAAGAGAGATGGACACCTCTTGATTTATGAATATTATACATATAGCTGCACATAAAGCAATGTGTGTGTGTGCTTTTTTCTTTCTATATACATATATATATATATATATATATATATATAAGTCTTTGCACGCACATTATATATATATATATATATATGTATATGCACACATATATGTACATATATATATATATATATATATGGTAAGCCTAAGAACACTATCTCTATTTGCTCAGACCCCTGTATTGTGGCAATGCCCTTTGCATCCCGGTCCGTGGAGTAATAATCCACCACTTTGCCACCTGCCGCACCGGCTGGGTCTTCTCGGAGACTCCAATATCTCTTAATTCAGGAATATACCGAAAAACAAGGAATATACCTGACATTATAGTAGGATCTCTAGTATGGTTTAAGGTATATAGGTATATTCCTTGATTAAGGGACATTGGAGTCTCTGGGTCTTCTTTCCGGGCGGTGTCAGCGGCCCTACTTGCGGATTGCTCGGGTTCTGTTAGGTTTAGGGCTTAAGGCTTAGAGTTCAGAGTGTCGGGTTTAGGGCTTTGAGTTTGAGGCTTAAACGTTTGGGGTCTAGAGTTTAAGGTTTAGAGTTGGGGCAGCATGAAGGGCCAACAATGCCCCAGCTGCTGCGTTGGATTCCACAGCCCGTCAAGGAACAACTGAAGCTGAACAGCTTCCTGCACACCCGACAATGCGGCGTTTGGAGCCAAAGTGGTATGAAACAGAAGTACACCCAGGACCTTCAAGTGTGCGGTAGTTGTTCCCCCGTTAGGCATCTCTGCACTCCCCCACGACCCCTTGCCCCGCCTCCATGATCTTCTTGTCTCTGCTGCTCTCTCCAATGTCCTGACCCTGAGCCCTAAACCCATGATCACCTAAACTTAAACCCGACTCGCGTCATCAATGACCCGGCCCAAAACAGCTCAAACTTTCGAAGACAGACCAAACACAAAACAACCCCGAAAGTTGAAGACCCCAACCCAAAACCCTAAGCCGAAAGCGAGTGGGCCTCCGAAATGTGGCGCTGGCGCCATGTACTGCCCCTCGCCCCAGGAGGCGCTCAGCCCTGCGTCCTTCAGTCAGGGTTCCTGCTTACCCACAAATGTTCCTTTAAGGGCCCTATGAGGGTACTATAATAAGGGTCTAGAGGTTTGGAGTGAAGGCTTAAGTCCAGGCGGTAGGGTGTTTCGCCCCGAACTATGCAGATCCATGGTAGCTGCAGGGCTGTTGTGAAGGTTCAGGGCTTCAATTTCCGGCCATTTATCGTAGGATGCTGATTTTTTGGGGGGCCCCTTCAACAAAATACCAAATGGTACCCCGGCTGTTATGAAGGACAAAGGTACCGGAAGGTACCCTGGGTTATTTCTTCACATGAGTGCACTTCCTGGCAGTAAGAACGACGAAACAGTCAGCATGGGATGTTTCAGCTGCTACTGCTACTGCTACTACTGCGTGCGCGACCTGTACTGCCCCTAAACCCTAAACCCCTAAACCCCTAGACCCCTAGACCCTAAACCCTTAAACCCTAAACTACGAAACCCTAAACAGGTCATGCTGTTCTTTTCTGTGCGGTACGTATGACCTGTAGGAGTGCTCTTGCCAATCTCCCTTATCCTGCAAAACCCCATAGTTCCCTTACTGCAAAATGCAAAACCCTTGTTAAAGTTCTCTGGTTTAGGGTATCCTTACTACAAAACCCTTGATAAAAAGTCTAAGCATTCATTAAACTTCCTGAGGTAATACATCTCAGGGCTTTGAGTCCTTGAGGGTCGGCCACCCTCATTAAGCCCTAAACCGGGAACTCCATGCACACTTCCTCCTGCTCAGGGCTGAGGCCAAAGGCTGCTGCCCTGGGCTGAACATGCGGCTTCAGATTTAGATGTCGGCTAGGGTTCGGTGTTTGTGTTTTAGGATCCGACAATTCAAGGTTCAAGGATTCGAAGCTTTTGGATTTAGGGCTTCACTTCTCAAAGACGCCCTGCCACATCTCATGCATCTCATGAACATCTCCAGGCAGACCTGTGCGAGAAATCAGGCAGCCGATTTTCGGTGACAAAGAAAGCCGAAACGAACCCCAGTTTTCCAAACCTTATCAACACCGTAAGCCCAAACCCTGAACCCATCCGATGCGCTTCAGAACACGTTTCTACCCTAGAACCTCCAATAACCCAAAGCTAAGCCCAACAACCCGTGAACCCCAGACCCTGAAAGCCTGAACCCTTGAAAGCCTGAACCCTGAACCCCTAGAACCGTGGATTCAAACACCCTCAACTCCCAGAAGCCCTAGAACCATGAAGGAGCCTTTTAGCAACCCGTACAGAAACCCCTAATAGTAACCTTTATAGCAACCGTTCAAAGAATCTGCTAAAGGCACCTTCAAATGCATTAAAGGAACCCTGATGGGACCCTGAAAAGTGCACCTTGAAAGGAGCTATGAATGGAACCCCAAAGCAACCCGCCTAAACCCTAACACCTAAACACAACCTACACCCTAAACCCTCAACCCTGGACCCTCAACCCTAAACCCTGAACCCTCAACCCTCAACCCTATACCCTCAACCCTATACCCTAAAACCTAAAGCAACCCCCTTTTTCAGCCGAGGCGCTTCTTGTCCCAGGCCTGCGGATCGGCGCGGCTCTCGATGAAGTCTAGGAGCCTCGAGGCTTTGGGGTTTAGGGCTTAGGGTTTTGTAAGGCGCCTTTAAAGGGTCAGGGTTTAGGGCTTAGGGGTTGTATAGGGCGCCTTTAAAGGGCTAGGCTTTAGGGCTTAGGGCTTGGGGGGTTTATGGGGCTCGTTTAAAGTGCGCTTTTGGGGTTTACAAAGGTAGGGTCTTGGGGTTTAGGGTTTCGGGCTTAGGGAGAGGGATTCTAGAAAGGTTCTGCTTGGACGTTAGCAGGGTTAGAAAACAAGATGCCAAGTGGAACTTTTGAAAGGGGCTTGTATGGGCTTTAGCAGGATTCGGGTAAGGGTTCTACACGGATTTTGGACCAACGAACCATCCTCCAAATGGCAATCAGTGAAGTGCTCTGTCATGCCGCGTTGGCTTGGGTCCTCGTGCGATTCCATCTGGGCAACATCTTGCCGATAAAGGACAGTGACTTGATTGTACAGTTTACGGAGGATCCGTGGATGGAAATGTTCGCCATCTGCTTTTTGGTGGGCGCTCTAATCCCATGCAAGCAATCCACCAGTTTGCTGGCGTCTGTTGACATCTCCAACGTAGCCAACAATTGTATCTTTCTTTCGTCGTAGTCCGCCGTGTCATATATTTTGCAGCACACGGACGCTCACTCAAGTCAAGCCATTTTCCTTCATTTTCAAATATCCGACCACCGTACTCAGTGAGGGGGAGGGATGCTTCATCAGGCACGTAAACATCCAGGACGTTGAAAAACGAGTCCACTGAATTGAGAACATACGGCCCGCAACCTGGCTCCAACGGGCCTGCTCTCCAAGCTGAGGTCCACCGGCCGCGGATTTGCACAATATCTCTTGTGCGATATATGATTCGAAAGCACTCTCGTCATTCCGGCGGAGAATGGCCAACGCATGATGCGAATATCGATCGAAAAGACAATCATTGCGCAGGAAAGCACTGAAAGCCACCCAATGTTGTGCTGTCACCCACCACCACGCCTGCTTCGATTTGTTAACGCCCTCCTTTTCTTTTGACATGCTGCAAACTCCTGGCCAGGGGCAGCGCTGACTCAAAGTAATCTTGGAAACATTTCACCAAGCCTGCTCCGCCATCCAAATGGGCAACTTTGGCGCTCTTCAATGTGTCGCCATCTTTGTCATTCAGCAACGTTTCTGTGCCCTGTAACAGAAACTTCGTTGCAAGTCTGGTTTCTGAAGGTGGCACGGCAAAGGCTAGGGGCACAAATCTGCTGTGGATGATGTTTCGACATGCTGTGCCAACCAACCGAGGCGAAGAGTTTGACCTTGAAGTTGGAGATGTCATGTGTGGCATCGCATGCGAGCCTGAAGCCATGCTATTCAAATTCCTCCTGGCTCGATTGCAAAATGCGTCCGGTAGAAACTTCCAACTGAAGTCCTTGCTTCTGTCGGGTTGGCGGAGCCGGGAAATCAAAAACTGCACATCTCGAGTGCTATCCTCCACTTGGCGAGCCCTTTCCTGTGCCTTCTTTCTGCCTACCTGGCTTCGTCTGGTAATGGCGGGTTCGGGTGCTTCGGGTTTTCCTGCGACCATGCCACGGGGGATGCAGCCGCAGTCCCGGGCTTTTTCGCCGCCACTTCCCGAACTGTGTCTCTGAGAGCTTTGGGTAATGGATGTTCGAATTTGCTCTCCCTTCTGACCACCCGGTCCTCCATGGTGTAGTTCACTAGATAGTGGCACGTGCTTTTGATTGTTGCTAGAAATTCCCCGGCGGTCAACTACAAGGTTCTCCATCACCTGTCGGTCATGCGGGACTAAATGTGGCAAGCGCTGGTCCTTTTCTTGCTGTTCTCCAGACAGTACTCAAGTTCAAAGCGGACGACATCACGTTGATCATCAACTTCTACTGCAGCTGGCTGCATGTTGAATTGCACCTTCAACTGGTTCCTCTTCAATGGATGATAAATTAAGTAACAGAGCAATAGCTGGGGCAAGCGGGGCAAACATCGGTGCCATGCTGCACTACGTTGTAGCCTTTGCCCAGGTCATGTTGTGTCACTCTCACATGTGGTCCTTTCCACTCGGATTTCTTGTTGTATCTTTTGAGGCGATGACGAGGAGTACGTGGTGCACAAGGCAGCCAAACAGCGCCGGATCGAGAAACACGTACTCCTCCGCAGGAGCGGAAGGAGGCGGCACGCGTCTCTGCATTGCAAGTCTTCCGGGCTTTGCTTTAAAGCTCTCGACAAGACCTGCTGTTCTGACCCCCTAAACTAAACCCTGAAACCACCCAGGAGAACTTTCTGATGCCTTAACCAGGAAATAGCAAAGAGTCCTGACGCATCACCATTACTGATCATAATCATCGTCTTCATCATCACTCTTCTTCTAGTGATTCTGGTAGAAGAAGAAGTAGTAGTAGTAGTAGTAGTAGTAGAAGTAGTAATAGTAATAATAGTAGTAGTAGCAGTACTACTACTACTACTACTATTTTTCAATTGAACGCTGCGCGAGCGTGCTCTGCGCTTTGCGGGCGCCTTTGGTCTCGTGCACTCGTGAAACTGCTTCTAGCATGCATCGCTCATACCTCTCTAATCAGCTCGAACTTGACAGACTACTGCTACAAAAGCTTCCTCCCCCGACACCTTGGAGTGAACAGACGCGTCCATCTGTGCACCTGTCACAACAAGTAGGCCGTACCTCAGACGAAGCCGACACCTGGAGTATCCGTCTTGTGGCGTCCCACACGGATTACTCATGTTGAGGACAGAAGGCCGTAAGGGTCATTTGCCCATGACCGCATGTACCTGAAAGCAACTCCGGTGGAGTGAGGCTGTGGGCAGCTTGGACGTGGGCAGCTCGCTGAAGCAGCGAAGTGCTGTTTTAAGCGAGATTAGCACGCGGTTCACAGGCTTCCGAAGAGAATTGCTTAGAGTCGGAAGAGTGCCGAATTCCCTGAGTCTGTGACATAAGGGATCAAAGAGTCTGTGACATATTTCTGCCCTCACTGGTCGTGACCTTTCGGCCACTGCTGAGAGTAACTGTGCCAGGACCACTGCTGCCACCAGTCCCAGTCGTCTTCTTGAGATGAGCGTGCCTGCCTGGCCCACTGGGTCGAGGAAGAAGAGGAGGGGCCTTCGCGCTGTCGCTTGCCCTCTGTGTCAGCCTCCTGCATCTGTGGGCGCTTGTTAGGGGCAGCAGCAGCCAGTTTGGCCATGCGCTTGTCCTCCTCGTGCCCCTTGTCGTGCTGGATCCGCATCTTCATGATGGAGTAGGCATTTTTGTCGGGTTTGACCCTGAAGACACGAGCTGGGAGTCCGGCTGATTTGGCCGTCTCATTGTAGACTGCCACGATGGTGGTGGCGATCATGTTGAACTCGACCCACGAGGGGAAGTGCTGCTGAAAGGCCTTTTCGTCCCACATCTTGTTGAAGCAGGCATGGATAAGGCCATGCACCTTTGTGGGGGCGTCCAGCTCGCGATAGGCATCTCCCGCGCCTGTGGCTATAGTGACCTTCCCATCGCTGGTGAGGACCCGCCTCACCGACATGGCGGTGTCCCATGTGAGGCCTGTTTGCGTCCTTACCGACTTGATGGCGGAGAACAGCGGGGGAACTTCTCGGAGTGCGTCCATCCTGGTAGACCAAAGGGTCTGTTGCTCATGGTTGGTGAGACCGCCAAGAATGACCGGAGCCACCAGGATATTAATGGAAGCCAAGGCCCGAATCCAGTCCTGGTGGGACTGGGAGCTCAGCAGTTGAGCCAGCTCCTGCCGCGTGTATCGTACTGTCTGTTGTGGACTACTACTACTACTACTACTACTACTACTACTACTACTACTACTACTACTACTACTACTACTACTACTACTACTTCTACTTCTACTTCTACTTCTACTTCTACTTCTACTTCTACTTCTACTTCTACTTCTGCTACTACTACTGCCAAAAGGGCAACGACCACCCATAGTGTGCTCTTCTAGGGTCTGTGAAGGCTGGAAACCGATCTTTGTCGCTGTGCTCCAAGATCTCCTCGCCGAACTGATCCTGGCGAACGAAGGGCGTTGCACAGGGCTTTGCCATAAGGGTTCCTGCACGAGGTCAGGGTGCAAGGTTCGGGGCATTGGATTCTACAGGGCTTGGTGTTTGTAGGGCTTGAGGTTCTGCACGTTTAGAGGTTTACGGCTTTAGATCAACTCAAAAAGCCACTTGGCTTTGTGCGTCAACCCTGAGCCCTAACCACAACCCTGAACCCTAGACCCTAACCCTGAACCCTAAACTCTAATCCCTCTAAACCCTGAGCCCCAAACTCTAAACTTAAATCCTGAACCCTAGAAGGCCTAGGAGTCGGGATCCGAGAAATATACGATTACTACGACGATCACTAGTAGTACGATTCTTTACTATTCTTACCATCATTACTACTATTACTATTCTTACTAGTACTAGTACTACTATTATTACCATTATTACCAATATTACGAATTTTACAATTATTACTCGTATCGCTATAACTACCATTATGAGTCTGATTCCTACTGTTCCTCTCAAAATAATCCGCGCACATACTCAAAGGCCTTGTGCCTGCGAGCGCAGAAACTTGATTTGTAAAAACCGCGATTTCGTCTACTTAGGGGTACCTTACTTGGGAGTACCCAAACCCTTTTTTAACTTAAACCCTCAACCCGTGAGGACTCTGCTTCTTTAGTGAATGGGCCTTCAGAAGGTCTCATCTCCCTGTGCTCACACGGGTTTAGGGGCACATGTTCCAGCATTTATCATGTCAGCAAAGGCAAGAAGTGCACATCATTGCACAGCTATATGTGGAGGTTTCCGCAAATAGGGGACCCTAAACTAGTACCCGGAAAAGTAGGATCCTTATTATAAGGACGCTAGAATGAGGTACCTTTATTTTCGGAAACCCCCACATATGTGCTGTCCTTACTGCTACACTTGCTGCCATTTCCATCGTCACTCGGATTTGAGCGGACACCATGAAACACCAAAAAAAGCCAACGAGAGACCACAAAAGCCACAGAACCGCAAAGTCGAACCCATGTACTATAAGAGCCTTCATAATTAGGATAGGTTTTGGGGCCCATATACTATAATTTCAATAAGGAACCCCCTCGAAACAGTATAGGCGATTGTTTAACCCTAAAGTATGGTTTAGGTTTGAGGGTTTCGGGGTTTAGGGTTGAGGGTGTCGGGTTTGGGGTTGAGGGCTTCGGGCTTTGGGAGGCCTTGTGAAATCGCAAAATATAAATTCATCAACCTATAAACAGCGAGGTAGCAAGGAATGCCTTCTTCCCGTAGTAATATTTGATGGTCGGGAAGGACTCGATGCCCTCTTTCTGGCAATCTTCATAGTCCTGCGGCATTGGGGACAAGAGCTGATGATGGCAGTCCTCATGGCTTTAGGCTCAGGATTTGGGACTTTCTCTGCCCGAAGTTGATGCCAACTCCTGGAACCAATTCAGATGGATTATGGGCTTGCATGTAAGGCCGAATCTAATGTAGTAATGTAGGGGCTTTAAAGGTTTTTGGAACCCATTATACTGTACTTATAGTAAGGACCCACCAGAATATTACAGGTAATTATTGAGGCCGCTACATTACATCTGCCTCTCCGGAGCGGTGGTGCTTTCCGGGGCTCGGTGCTGGCAATGGCCGCGGACGCTAGTAGTGATGTACAGCACACCCTCAAGTGTTGCTCGGAGGGGAAGGGATGTGGGTGACCCATGGTGACCCTATACGCCCTAAACCCTGTAAGTTTGCAAGCCTAAAAATCCTAAACCCGACCAGCCCCAAACGCCAAAGGCGGCTCCTTCCCTTTCTTCCAGTCGGGCCCATAGCACTCCTCAGCACGATGCGGAAGGAAACTGAAGCCTCCTCCCTACGTTGGATCCAGGGTTTGGGGCTTGCGGTTTAGGGTTCCGAAAGCCACAAAGCTTGGGGGGTTTCGAGATTTTGGGTTTAAGGTGTCGGGTTTCAGGTTTTGGGCAGAAGAAACCATGACCTGCTTTTTAGAAACCCGTACTGAGGTGTCATGGTATCTTGAAGGGTTCTATAGGGTCTAGGATTTAGGGTTCCTTTGGGGGTTCTGTAGGGTTTAGGCTTTAGGGTCTACTGGGAGGGTCATGCGTGGTTATAAGCGGGGCCTTTTTTTGTAGGGGGCTTCAGTTTACAACGAGCATTGGGGGACATGCAACCCCACATATTACTACCCATGAAAGTACCAGCAGATCGGCTTTTGGTATGGGTTCTCCCGTCATGCTTCTGGGGGGATTTAAAACCACGACTTCGTATTCAATCCTTATTCAGGCTCCTACATATCCATCTTGTGTTTCTGCAAGAGGCGTCGCCGCAATAGTAGGCAAGGCTGCGTAGGACTCGAGCGTCCAGCATCCATCACAGTAACACCCGCCCTTTTTGGAGAAGCGCCAAAACCAACACGTGCCCGCACCCTTTCAGACTACATAGTGAACTTAGACCCTAGCAAAAATTATGTTTTCACGGTTTCTTAGGGATGACAAACCACCAAAGACTAAACACTACAGTAGAAGCCAAAAAGTTGGAAACCTTGACCTTCATCCGGTTTCCAACTTTATGTGGTTTACTGTATTTCTGAGTACCCCGAAGATTGCCTCGCTCCTCAACAGTCGCAAGGCCTTTTTTTGATCTCCTCGACCTCCACGCGCGAAGCTGAGCCCCCTGCATCCTTAAATGCTGCAGCCCCAAAGCCTTAACCCCATCAATCACAACCGTCAGCCCTAAACCCAACAAACCGCTTAGTCTAACAGGGTAGACAAACCTCGCTCAACAATATAGGATTCCCGCAACAAAAAAACACCGAAACGAAGAGATATTAACTCCATACTCTTCGGAGGTGCTGAAGACCACGAAAAGGCCCTGAAAAGGAGAGCACCCTTAACTTAATGCCCCTGGTTGTTGCGATATGGGAGTTTCCGAAGATTTGGGGTGCCATATTCTGGGACCCTTATAACAAGGACCCTACTATTTAGGGTGCTATATTAGGGTCCGCCATTTTCGGAAACTCCCATATCTGGAATCCTATCGAAACTCTGCGAAGGAACCTTCTGCTGCCACTTGAGCTTGACAGAGTGGCCCGCTGCCTGCAACAGCAGCCGCTTACGGGTTTCAAGGTCTCAGGGCGGTGCAGGGTACTATAGGGGCCTAGATGATTACCAGAACAGTATAACTAAAGTATAATGGGCCTAGCATAGGGGCCTTAACAATAGACTAGGGTTTTCGGGCCCATTATACTATACTCATAAAAAGGAACCCCCCAAAAATGGTCTAGGTAAGTATTTCAGGCCCCTATTTTATCGTGTTTGGGGTTAGCGGGCCAAGGACTTCTAGCCACGGCCGCAGTTGCTGTCATCGTTGCCGTCGTTTGGTCGTCGTCCCCCATCGTGGCTGTCCCTGTCACTGTCGTCATCGAGATGTCCCAAAACCAGCAGTAGCAGCTGGCACTGATAGATGTTATACACAGGAGCCATCACTCATAGTCATAAAGACGCGAGCACTGTTTGCGGGATGCCGCCAGTGGTGCTATCAATGCTTCCCTTCCTTAGCAGCACCACCTGCATTCGCCCACAACGGCATGACAACGTTTGCAGCTGTAGCACCAGACAGGCGGCTGAGCGGTTTAGGGTGTTTAGGGTTTAGGGCCCCGATCCCCCTTTTTGCTACTCGTTTGCTTTGCCTGTTTCTTGCTTTGCAAAGCGCTGATGCCTTCTGCTGCTGCTGCGGGTGTTGTTGAGCTAAATATGCTCATGCTGCTTGCGGTTCTATGCTGGTGCATCTGTTTCTTGTCCAAAACTCGAGCTTCGGTCGCTTCTTTCCGGCTTGTAAGCCGGAACTGCCGCATTCGCTCGATTTGCCGATGTTTCTGCTGCTTGTGGTGCTTGCATTTTGTTTCTGCCGTTGAGAGCATCCATGGCCCAAGCATGCTGACGTCCATGGTCTAATCCGTTCTGCCGTTCCGAACATCCATGGCCCAAAGCCTGAAAACGCCTGCCTAATGTACAGGGGCCTTGACAAGTAAAAACAAGGCTTTGTGGGTTCCTTATTACAAATATAGTATAGTATCCCCAGAACCCTATTCTGATCATCAAGGCCCCCACATTAGATCCACATGCTGAGCTAACAAGAGAAACCACGACCATACAGAAAACGATGACGATACGGCTGGATAACGAAGACACCAAGTAGCGCTACTCATACACACAATCGCTCTTAATCCAGTTGCTGAGACTGAGAAGTCCGGTCTGCAAACAGGAATGCCCATCATGAAAACATCGTCCTCGTCAGTTAGAGTTCAGGGTGTAGCAGTGTAATATAGGGGCCTTAATTGTTAGAATAAGGTTTTGAGTCCCATTATAGTATAGTTATAGTAAGGAAACCCCGAAATAGTCGGTAATTATTGAGGCCCCTACATCAGGGTTTTTATACCACCAATCCAACCGGACAAGTATCCATAGAGCAGCCGCACCAGCAGCAATATCGTGAGCACCCACACCATCAGCGCCATCGTCATCGCTGTCATCATCTTGAGGATCCGCACATCGCCATCAGCATCACCCATAATCCGGATAACAACACGATCATCATCACCATCATCATCACAGCCGCCTCATTCAATATCACCACCAAAAGATCACATCAATATTCATAATACGGAACCCCCAAAATCATATAGGTAGCCATTTAAGCCCCTATAGTATAGTACCCTTATAGATCCCCTTATAGTAACCCTTATAGACCCCTTTAAAGGAACCCTATGGGAAATCCTAAGTTAAGCCCCTTTTTGTAGTGAAATCCACCACTTCTTCTGGCCTCCCAATCTTTTTGGGCACCTTTCCACACGGGATCCAGGTTCTGGCTGTGGGGGCAATCCTGAAAGGAGCGGTGGAGGGCTTACGGTTCAGGGTTTAGGGGTTTAGGGTTTAGGGTTTAGGGGTTAAGGGTTAGGGGTTTAGGGGCTTAGGGGTTTGGGCATTTAGGGGTTTAAGGGGTTTAGGGGCTTAGGGGTTTAGGGGTTTAGGGCTTAGGGCGCTTCTGAAGTTCCATTTTTACGGACCTGCTGATTTCGAAAACTCATCCAGTGACCCTAGTACCGACTCTGAGCTAATAACGATAATAGCAAGCCATGCCTTTGCCATACAGATTGAAGTGGTGCTCACAGTACTTGCTTGAATTCCGCACCGTCGAACCTCTAACCGTAAACCCGAAATTGCGAAACCCTACATTCCTAAACCCTAAACCCCAAACCCCAAAGCATAAGCCCTAAACCTTAACCCCCTAGAAGCACGTTGCTCAAGTTCTGATCACTTCAGATTGAGACGCAGAACTCCGAATGAAAAGTCTCCTCCGAAAAAGACTCCAAGATGTCTTTAGGCAGTTCGCCGTGCTCTGACCCGCAAACTCCAAGATCAGACTAACCCTAAACCCCAGACCCACCATACACCCTAACCCTAAACCCCAATTAAACCCTGAACCCTAAACCCAAAACCCTAAAGCTTGAACCCTAAACCCTAGACCCAAAATTCGCCCTAAGTCCTGAACCCAATAAGCCCCAAAAGCCGCAACAGAATCAGAACCGGGCCGCCTTGGCGTAGTAGTCGACTACTCTCTGTACCTCCCGCGGGGCTTTGGGGTTTGAGGTTTAAGGGCTTCGGGCTTCGGGGTTTTAGGGTTTAAGGTTTAAGGGCTTGGGGTTTAGAGGTTTAGGGTTTAGGGTGAACGGCTTCGGGTTTAGGGTGAAGGGTTGCGTGGGGTTTAGGGTGTAGTTTAGGGGTTCAAGGGGTTTAGGGTCGAAGGAGGGAAGAGGCCTTCCGCCTTCCCGTCTTAGGCAAATACGGGTCGCACTCACGTAGAAGTCGTGCACGAAGAACGTAGAACTCTTCAAGGTGTTATACGTGGAGGTTCCTTTAAAGGGATCTATAGGGTTTAGGGTTTAGGGTATAGTATGGTTATCGGGTTTAGGGGTAGTTATAAGTAGGGTTATAAGTAGGGTAACAATACTTATAACCCATACGAGGGGACTTTTATAACCCCACTTAAAACTACCCATGAACCTCCAAGTAGGTTTTGCAGAAGCGTTATGCGATTTTGCAGCGGTTGAGAACCATTTGGTAATCGGGCTTTGCCAGGACCGTACTACAGGGAAATGGGGATTTGGGGTATATATTACAGTTTATTAAACTGTCCTTTTAAAGCCTCTGAAAAAGATTCGTTAATGGGGTCCTATTGAGCCCAATAAGGGAAAATATACAATGTCCCAAAGGCCTACCTAGTTTATTACGGACTGGTGGATGCTACTCCCAGTTTGCCCGACCCCAATACCATACCCCCCTTTTAGAAGCACAATAAAAACGATATGTTTAATGTTCTCTTGGGATTTTTATCAACAAAAAAATCCTAAGGAGACTATAGAACAGCATGTGTTTCGTGCCTGGCCCTAACAGGTCCCGACATTTCAGAGCCTAGAAGGCAGACACCAAGACCCAAACCCTACACCGTACAATCCTGCAGGCGCAAAGCCGCCTGGTTTCGGGTTTTCGGTTTAAAGTTTAGGGTTCAGGGCTTAGAGTTCAGGGTTTAGGGTTTAGAGTACAGGGTTTAGGGCTTAAGGTTTAGGGTCTTATTCCTGATAGCCGTAAACCGCCAACACCCAAGAAGGCAAGAAATACCAAATACGCACAGTCGTTTCTCAACACGAACCTTGTCGGTCGCCCTCATCTCAAAAACATACTCCCCCCACATTCTACATCACAAACCCGAAACATAACACAACAAAGCCCCCGGAAATCCTCTTGCTGCAAACAAACCTAAACCCCGACGGGAGCTCAAAAAGCGCCCCCAAACATGAACCCAGAGGGGAAGGTAGCCATAGCTTGTGTTTAACATAGAGGTATAGTGCGGCATAGCTATAATACAGAACCCGAAGGAGTAGTAGTGGCAATTCCTCACCCTTCGCGTAGCCCTGTAGCGGAGTCCTTAAAGGAACCCTTTAAATTGAAGAAACCCGGTTGGGTCCTTACTGCACGGCCTCGTCCTTCAGCTTCTTCGCCGCAAGCACCGGCGCCGACGTGTTTGGATCGAACTCAGCCGGGGCCTCACGCAGGCGTAGAGCTCGTAATGGGGTTCAGGGTTTACAGTAGAAGCCAGAAAGTTGGAATATCATTATCGTAACCCCTTTAAGGTTGAATTATAGGGGATCCTACCATTAATCCATATTCCAACTTTCTGGAGTTCCCTTTAGGGTTTAGGTTGGAATATCAGATCATGCATGTAATCCTTCGGCCTGGCCAAACTAGCCGTCGATCAAAGACAAAGATGGCCCCCGATGGCTCAATGTTCAAAAAAAAGGTCCCTAAACCCTAGCCTTAGGCCCTAAGCCCCTAAAACCCTCGAGAGCCCAATGTCCCGTAATTAAGGAAGATACCTTACATTATAGGGGCCTGAATATTATAGTTTAAGGTATATTCCTGATTTAAGGGATATTGGGATCTCTGAGTAGAATGCTACTTCACTGGTGGGTTCTGATTCGAGCTTTGGCTTTCTTACGACAGCCACGGCAAAGGGTTTGGGGAGGGTAAGGTTTAGGGCTTAGAGTTTAGGGGTTGAGGGGTTTAGGTTTTAGGGGTTTAGGGGTTCAGGGTTTAGGGTTTAGGCTTAGGCCTCAAACATGTCGTGCGCTGGGAATCGCTCTTGCAATTTGCTTGCACCACTAGATTTGCAGCTCAGCGTTTCGTCGTGATGGTCGTGATGGTCGTGATGGTCGTGAGTGGAAGACGCATGCAGAACTAGATCCATCTGTCTATAAAGCGGTACCTTGGGAGATTGAGAGAGAGGTGTACATAAATACATAGTACCAATGCATGCATATATACATACATACATGCATACATTCATGCGTGTATACATACATACATACATAGCTACACATACATGTGTACCTACATAGGTATATATGTACATGTACTTCGCAAGCCTAGACTGATCACAAGAAGAGGACGGATGAGCCGGGGCATCAGAAGCAGAAGGTGGACGACTGGGGCAGGTCAACATCTGGAATCTCACCTTTAGGGTTTACGGTTCATAGACACACCGTCCATCCACCCACACATCCAGAGTCAAAATCCTCCTTCCGAAGCCGAGGCACCACCCCGTGGCCAGGAAAATGACTGCCAAGCCAACTGGCCAGATTCTCTCCTGCCTGCAGGGACGATACAGAAGCATGCTGGAACCACCTCGCATCCTTCCGACGAACTGCTGATTCGCGCTTCTGTGCTCATGATGGCTACCTTGCAGTTCACGATCAAGCCTGCATCGAACATCGACAATGTTCTTACCACTACTTGTGTGTTTTGGTGCTACTGCCAGTGTTCTTGCGGCATTCAATTACGATAGCAACGTGCGCTGCACCTGTCGGATGCTGCTGGGGACCAGCAGAAAGGATGTGGGATCCTCAGAAGCCACACCACAACAGATTAGATTCGCCCACCTGGTCGTGGTTCCATGGTCTCCGATCATCTTCTCGTGTAACTGTATGTACATGTTTTCATGTGTGTGTGTATATATACATATGTATATATATATATATATACAGATGCATATTTGCATACCTATGTGTACATAGATATGTGTGTGTGCATGAATTCATCCACGTATGTATGTATGTATGTATGTATGCATGTATGTATGTATGTATGCATGCACACATGCATACGTACATTCCTTACATACAGTTTCGCATTGTGTGTACGGACGTCTATATATTTATATGTATGTACTTGTACATATATACAAATGTGTGTGTGTGTGTGCGCGCGAGTACACATCTACACATACATGTATTTCTAACCAGGTTTATACATTTCTTTGCTTTTCCGGCTACAGAAACATCATGAGTCTTATGCTGCTACAAGCGTTGGTTGAATGTACTTGTGCAAGCGGCCTTGCGGAAGAATATCAGCAACAGGAGTGGCATCATCAAGCGGTACCCGACATGATCAATCAAAACTGTTCCTGTTTGCTGACGCTGCTACTGCTACGACTGCTATGACTGCTACTGCTGCGAGTGCTAACGCTACGACTGCTGCGACTGCTAGGATACTGCTTCTGCTGTCGCCCGTGCTCCTACTACTTCTACTACTAGGACTAGTACCACTGCTGCTACCACAAGGCACTTCCCTGAACTAGTGGAAGCCACGATATAAACTGTAGTACAACCACGCCAGGATTGGTGGTCGTGCTGTTTTTCGGTTTGGTTTCTGCTGCCGCAGCTGGCACTACTCTCACTTTCAAAAAACACTGCTGGTGTTGTTATTCCTCTTGGTCTTACTCATCTATGTCATGGGTTCCTGCTACGCTAGGATTTTCATTAGCAATGTCTGGGCTATCCGTCCAAGAAGCGTGGCTGCTGGGCTGCTCAATCAGCTGCAAACCTTGAAAGTCTTCTCCCACTACTACCACCACCACCACCACGACTACTACTTACTCCTGCTGCTGCCTGCTGCTACTACTCCTACGACGACAACTACTACTACCACTGCTACTACCACTGGTTGTGCTACAGGTAGTGGTAGCAGCAGTAGCAGCAGTAGGAGGAAGTGTTGGAAGGAGTAGCAGCAGAAGCTAGCCTTTTGTTCCGCTTCTTCTCATCAGGATTAACTCAGTCGTAGACACCTGAGTAATGGTAGCGAAGCCCCCAAGCCTACATGAAAAAGGAATCAAGCTCATGAGAATGCTTGAAGGAAATCTTCTGAAACACTTAATACAGGCCCCTTTTTAATTAGAATAGGGTCTTGGGTCGGGTGGTATACTATAACTATAATAAGGAACTCCCCAACATAGTCTAGGTAATTAGTAAGGCCCCTATACTAAATCCTACAATAGCCCGTATAGCAGACCTTATAACTTATGGTAACTCCCTTAAAGGAGCCCTACTCTAACTATGAAGGCCCCTAAGTTAAGCCTTCGTGGGCTTCCTGGCTCCAAGCTTTGGGCTTCAAGGCCCAGATATTTGGAGCTTCGGATTCCTCTGGGTTTAGGGTTTAGGGTTTAGGGAGGAACCCTTAAAGGAACCTTTACGCTTCAAGGCCAAGGGCCTGATATTTGGAGCTTCAGATTCCTCTGGAGGAACCCTTAGAGGTACGGCCCCCATACAGTAAGAGTCTATAATAGGGCTACTTTTAAGGTCCTACCAAATCACTATTTGGAGCTTCGGATTCCGTTACAGGAACTCTTAAAGGAACCCTTAGAAGAGCTACAATGGGGTAGAGAGGGTTCTAGAATGGGGTCCCCCCCTTCAAGGGTCCTTCAAGAAACCCTTATGGGTAGTTCTCTAAATCGGGGTTCCGTTCTAGGATCTTTTTACAAGGGCGCCGTACTATTTTGGAGGCCCTGCAAAGTTGGAGCCTACTTTTGAGGGTTTAGGGTTTAGGGTTTAGGGTTTAGGAACTGAATCTAACATCATCCGAGTCCACGCGAGGCGTTGCTCATGCTACAGACTCTTAACTCCAAAACCCTGAACCCGAAACTCTACAAACCTAAACCCTAGACCGTCAACCCTAAACCCTAAACCGTAAATCCTAAACCCTGGACCTAAACCCTAAACCGTAAACCCTAAACCCTACACCCTAAACCCTAATCCTGAGCCCCTATAACCCCTAGGCCGCTTCGGATTCAGGGACTAAGGGGTGGGCATGTCAACATCGAGGGGTCAGAGTAAACGAGGTATAGATTTACAGGGTTTGGGGTTTAGGGTTTTAGGGTTTAAGGCTCTAGGGGTTTAGGGTTTAGGTTTTTGGAGCAAGGTTCAAACCGCAGGGTGGCGGCGAGGTTTAGGATTCGGATTGAGCTGAGATTCCTTTGGGGAACCGGGCTTGTTGGTTGCGCAGATCTCCCGGAAACTCCCTTTTCCGACGAAGTGAAGATCAACCTCCCCCGAAACTGAAGTGTTCATCAGGCTGGAGATTTCCGAAGGACTCCCACATTTCAAAGACTATAGGAGCCTTAGTAATGAGAATAGGGATCCTTTAAAGGGTTCTTAAAAAGGGTCCTTTAAAGGTTACTATAAGGTCTTCTGTAAGGGTTTAGCATGGGGGCCTTAGTAATTGGAATGGGATTTTGGGGGTATATTATACTGTAGTCATATAAGGAAACCCCCACAAGAGTATAGGTAATTATTGAGGCCCCTATAGTAAGAAAGACCCTGTTGTTTTGAGAACATGGGGAAAGCCCCTTCCAGCCCTGGAAACCCAGTCTGATCACAGGGACCCTTAGGGCAGGAGGGGACACTTCCTTAAATAGGCCTTATTAAATCCTTATTATGGGCATTACAGCCCCACCTCCCTTTCCCCCCTACCCCCCTAAGGGTCCTTATGGTATGAGGGAGCCTCTGGCAATGGGCCACTCTGACGATGCATTCCATTGCTGACAAGCTGCTGTGCCGGAGTAGCCCGCCCTCAGAGATTGAGGAAGAAAACCTATAATGACCATGCTATAGTATAACCCGAAAGGCCCTATGGTATTCAGTATATAATCCATAGCTGTAATCGATAAACCCCAAACCCTAAGCCAAAAAATCTACATAAACCCCAAGCCGTAAGTTTTCCGGATTTCGGGGGCTGGCTGTTGGTGCTTGGAGGTTCATGGGTAGTTATAAGCGGGGTTTTAAGTCCCCTAATACGGGTTATAAGTATAGTTACCCTACTTACAATCCTACTTATAACTACCCATGAACCTTCAAGTATCAGCCCAATCCGCACGCCCTGACCCCCAAAGCCAAAGTTCGAGAATCCCCAAAGCCCAAAGGGTAGTTCTCTCTAAGTTAGGGTCCCGTTTTTACGGGTCCTTATTGGAGGGGTGTCTTATTACATTGGGAGTTTCCAAAAGGGATCCTCACAAATTATGCTACAAGGGCCCCCAAATAAGGTACCCCTTTTTTTGGAAACTCCCATATAGGGGACCCGAAAAGGGACCCCCCAAAAAAAGCAGAAAGATCCGAATTTCCCTAGCCCGCATGGCCCCACCGTCCATGCAATGGCAGATCTGCTATCGACCTCTTGGAGGTTCATGGGTAGTTATAAGAAGGGTTCCTTTAAGAGATCTATATGGTTTAGGGCTTAGGGTATAGGATTATAGGGTGTAGGGTTTAAGGGTAGGGTTATAAGTAGGATAACTATATTTATAATCGAGACTAGGGGACTTATAACCTCACTTACAACTACCCATTGAACCTCCAAGCTGTCTACCCATAAGCCCTAAATCCTGAAGAAGAAATGCTCAGCAAGCCTTGCACGCCCGTACAAACCTCTAAGCTATCCGGCACCCCAGACCCCGAACCCTGAACTTAAATGGATACGGCTGATGATATAAATCCTGCATTCCTTTAAGGATCCTAAACTGTGGGAAACATGGTCTATTCCTTATGATGGGGAATGCAGGATATATATCATCAACCGTATTGCTTGCCCTTTTCCACAAATCCCCCAGAACCCTAAGTAAACCCGAAACGCCGTACCTCTCCAGCTACTCCTTCTGCCGAGACGCGTGCACCATGGCCTCTGCTTTTGCCTGACCGTGGAAGTTTCAGAACAACCGTAACGCAAAAACACCTTGAACCTTGGGCCATAAACTCTCAAGCCTAGACTAAACACCCTAACAAGCGATCCTACACCCTAAACCCTAAAACCAACATGATGATATCCCAAGTCGAGAGGCATGAGGATCAGGTTTCAGGACTGGATTTAGGCTGGACGGTTGCGGCCTTAATGATTACCTATACTATTTTGGGTGAACTGCGCAGGGATTCTCATGGTGTGGGAGTGCCAGCGTTTCGGGTTTAGGGCTGATGTTGTGAAGCGTTTCCTTAAACCCTAAACCCTAAGCCCTAATTAACGGAAATTGGAGTCTCTGGGTATCCTAAACCTTACGCCCTAAAGATCCCTTCTGGGTCCCTTGAAGGATTTTTAGGTATTCCTTATTTCAACCCTGTTCTAATACTCAAGGCCCCTCCGCTGCGCCCTTATCGGCCTCCTCGCCTCCGCACCGCTCGCCGCGTGCCGAGGCCGAGAGACGTGGACGCTAGGCCACTGCTCTTGGGCCCCAGAAATGCAGGTACTTAAGGAAATTAAAGTAGGACCCCTTATATGAAATGAGGTTCTTATTCCTTATTTAAGGAATATTGGAGTCTTTGGGAATGCAGAGAAGTGTTGAGGAGTTTGGGGCTTTCGGGTTTTCGGGGGTGTTGGGCTGTATAGAGGGTCTTATCAGGCTTCATACTCAGCACTGAAAAAGCGTCATCCCGGTTTACAGAGGTGTAGAGTGTATAAACCCCAATTAGACCCTAAGCCCTAAACCCTAAACCCTATCAGTGTTTAGGGCATGGTTGACGGCTTGGGGTCTCTGAATAAAGACGAAACATACGCGTTTCGCTTCAGACGATTGAAGAGCATTCTTGAGGGTTTGTCTAGTTGCTCTAGGTGGCGGGTGTAGACTTGTTGGAGCTTTAGATGGGGCGTGACATGGGGAGTCCTATTGAGGGGCTGTAGCGTGGTAGGACCTGTAAGACCATCGCTGACAGCCTAACAACAACTACTTTTTGAAGCGCCAGTGCTCAGGGCCTAAAGTTTGGGCTCAGGGTTTGGGGTCTAGAACCCTCTTCCAAAAAAACCTTAAAACCTAACCCTCCCTCGCCCCCGACATCGTGAACCCCCCGATTGCTCCATCTCCAAAGCCTCCGACTCACGAAGACCTACGATTTCTGAGGCGGCCGGCTTTCCAACGACACCACCAGCCACGCCCTGACAAGGTTTAGGGTTTAGTGCTCAGGGTTTAGGGACTAGGGTTTTGGGGTTTGGGGTTTTGTTGCAAATTGCCTGAGGGTATCTTGGACCTTGGCTGGGGGGGCTCGGGGTGTTGGGGGTCTTTGGCGGGGGTGGCGCTTTGGGCTTGAAGCGTTTAGACTCAGCTGTGGAGGTCTTGGCGGGCTTTTACTTTAGGACTTGAATGTGTGGCTTTTTTTTGGGGGGGCTGCAGAGCTTGTGGCGGTTGGGTGTGCTGGTGGTGCACTACTCTTACTTTGGGTATCTGCTCCTCAGAGGAACCATTAAGAACTGAATGCGAACTTCGTCCCCTGGTAGTTTGAAAGCCCAGCAACGCAAAGCTCGAAGCGCAAACACTCAAAGCCCAACGCCCTACAGGTCATGAGCACCGTTGTCCCTTTGAATGTGCATCCCAGCTGCAGGACTCGATTCGATGCCCTAGAATTTCAGAACCCCATTCCCAAAACCAACATCCCAAACCCAAAACAAGACTCCACGATTCCAAGATGGCAATCCCGTGCTCTCACCATGTCCTTTCTAATTCTACGACCTTGCAACCCTGAAATCCAAAACCCTAAATCCTCAACCCGTAATCCACAACACAAAGCAAAGATTAAATTCTCATCAGTTTTGGGTTTCTTCAAGGGTTCTATAGGGCTTAAGGTTTAGGGAAGTGAATTTAAGTTACCATGATACGGAAACCCCCAATATCTACTAGAAATCCCTAGTATGGTGACTTAAAGTGTGCTCCCCAATTAGAACCCTGGTAACTTGTTGTCCCTTGAAGCCAAACTCCATGCCCCAACCTCACCCGGATTTAGGGTTATGGGCTTCGGGCTTGGGTTTTCGGGCTTTGGGGTTGGTGCTTTAAGCTTTCAAAGCGGGATTTGGGGTTTTCGGTTTGAGGGCTTTGGGTGTCAGGTCCTCGCAGGAGCAGCTACCACAAGGGTCTAGTGGAGAGGTAGGTAGACATAGCTCGGCAGCATTTCCTTGTCAAAGTTGCAAAGGTTTGGGGTTGAAGGGTTGCGGGCCAACAATAACATTAACTCCACAAGAACGTGCAAATCTGGTGTAGGAGTTTCTGGCCTTGTTGAAGCCAAGTTGGAGGTAGAAGTCTAAACAAACCTTAAAACCTCGAACCCGAAAACCCCCCAAAGCAGGGCTTCCTTAACCTTACATATACTACAAACCAATACTAAGACAAACGACCATGCAAACCCTGCTCCTTGCACGCTGAAAAACACCAAAAACCCTTTGCAAAACCCGAAAACACAAACTGCATCTATAAATGTGAACATCCACCCCTCCCCTCCAACTTCGCGCGCCAGCGCGCTGCGCGCCGGGGCAGTGGCACAGCGCCTAGGCGATCAAAGGCAGCAGTAGTAGCAGTAGTCGTCGTCGACATCGTCGTGGTCGACATGGTAGTGGCATCGGTAGCTCTGGTGGCAATGGTAAGGTATTGGTAGTGGCAAAGCTCTTGGGCGTGCTCGTGCTCGCGCCAGTGCTAGTGCTTAGTAATAGTAACATTAGTACCACTGGTAGCAACTAGAACTAGGCTCATCATTATCAGGAAATAATAGCAAGAATCACTATCACAGTGCGGGAATGGACTTGCCGAGAGAGCGCGGCTGCTCCTGGCGGAAGTATGGCGGCCCGTCCATGCGTTTCGAGGTGACACCAGTAAGCTTGAAGCGGCTGTATGTTTGTGTTCTGTTTTCGGCAACCACAGAAAGGTGAGGAGTTACATCTTCAAAAGACATCTACAATGTCGGGCCGCCTCTGTCGTGGCATTATTTCCGGAAGCCCACGTAAACAAACGCGTTTGGCGCCAGCGCTATTTTTTGAATGGTTTCTACAAGTGCAGCCACTGAAAGCTACGGCTGTGCTGGCTGGGTTTAAGGCACAATGCTCTCTCCATTGGAACAGCAAATGCTTCGGAGAATCAAGATCACATTAAGCCTTAAACTGAACCTTAAACTGTTGCGTTTGACTCGGCTCCCACAAATTAGCATTGGCCGGCAATGCTTCACATCATGAAATTTGCTTTCTGCCCCATCACCACCATACTACTTTTTCCCAGCCACCCTGTGTGATTCTTAAAATGTTTCTGCTTTAACCTTGCATACATCATCTACCTGTCGACTATCTTGGGGAACTGAACGTTAACCTTGGGGTGTATTTTGGGATCATGTACGGATCATGGTACCCCAAAAAAGTTAAAGCTTGCCGAGACTAAGGTCAAAGCCCTAGACATGTCACACTAAAGCGCCGAAGTATCATCCGATCTCCAGGCAGTTCACACCCTTCGTAAGGTCTGAGGTTTAAGGCTTTTGGGGTTCAGGGATTAGGGTTTAGGGTTTAGGGTTTAGGGAGGCAGAGGGAATAAGCTCAAAGTATCGTGTATATGGTCTAGGAATTTGCACCTATGTGTAGAGTTTTGGACCACAGTTAAGGGCAACAGGGGCTACGGTTTAGGAAACACTGCTTAAGCTCGTCGAAGGGCCATGAACGGCTTTAGAAAGCTTAGTATACTGCGTTGAATTCGATCCAAGTTTTCAGCGTCAACAGTTGTTTCTCTTTGAGGGTCAGTCAGGGAAGCAGCCCCAAGCCCCGTAGCGACACCACCATCGGATGTTCTTTTCTACAGCACTGAGAAGGAAGGGCGCGTTCGGTTGGTGTCCGTGTCGTTGCAAATGCTGTATATCGAGCTGTTGATCTCGTGCTCGAATGCGATCTCTGTCCGCGTTCCCGAGATGCGGCGCCCGGGCACCAAAAACCGGTCTCATGGCTCGTGCAACTCTTTGCCAGCACTGCTCGTGCTCAAACCAGCCTGCAATCGTTGAAGCCACTGGGCGTCTCGATCCTGACGAGCTCGCTGACGGCGCAGCTGCTCCTCCGGCGCAAGGGGCTTAGGGTGCCCATCCCACCCTCCCTTGCGGATCGTGGTCAGAAGTAATAATCCCGCAGCTTTGAGCGGATGCGCCAACCGATTCCGAGGAAGTGTTGGATCTCGGTCGGGCAGCCAGCTGGCTTGTTCCAGCAGCCCGAACATGGAAGAGTCGCAGGCGCTCTGCGAGGTAGTTCAGCCGGACTGGGCGTTGCCTTTAAGATCTCCCTTGTCAACAAGTGTTGGACCTAGTCTGGGTGACTTTGCACCTACAGGGACCAAGAGGCAGGACTCGGAGGGACAGAACCGCAGCAAAGCGACCCAACCCTTAATCGGAAACCAGCCTCCTGTTCCTTGCCCTCAGCGAGTTGTAGACCACGATAGTCCACCCGACAAGCGGCGAAGCCGAGAACTTCTCAGGGTTGCTGCCATGGTGCTGTGAAACCACACCTCGGAGGCATCGGCGGCCATGTCGGAGCAATGGCAGGATGTTGCCTATGTTGTGGCTTGATGCAGGCAGCAGCTGCGAGGACAAAGCAGCTTTGTCGTAGAAGATGATGCTCCATCGGTCTCTCATCGGCGGCAAGCCATGCATACGGGCAACCCATGCGCGGACGGCCCTTTGCTGCAGAAGGTTGTCTTCATGATACAGTGAACATCGCTGAAGTCATGCTGAGAAGAAATGTTTCTCTCGTCAAGCAGACACTAGCACGCTCCCCTACGCTTGCCGCTCCAAGGCTTCTAGGGCCAGCGAAAAGGACTGAAACTCAGAAAGCAAGCAGGCTACGCCATCTCCTCCACGAAGCAGCTGTTCCAGGCCGTATCGATCTTCCCCCCCTTGCTTCTTGTTCATTCGGCTGATAAGATGATTGTATTCCTCTTCCATAGCAGCATGGGCCTTGGCACGTTTCTTGGCGCTTTGCTTCGAGAGCGTCTTCAGCTTCTGAGTGAAGTTGGCCGCATTCTCTGCCAGCGAGGGGCCAGCCAAGAGCGCAGGCAGCGGAACAGCTAGTTGTGCTTCTTCAGGGGCGGCAGCAGGGACTTTCTTCGCATCTTTCTCCTTCTTGTTAGGTAGCTTTGGTCTTCGGCGTTCTCGGCTTGCGTGTCGACTTGACCTGGTCCTGCTTCTGGGGTGTGTCCAAGAAGGAGAAGTCTGGTTCCTCCGGCTCCGGCTTGGTCTTCGGCTCAGCAATCGCGTCAACGGAAAGAGACTCCGCCACAGGCAGTTCCAGGGCTCTGAGGATTCGCGGCTTCAAATCCTGTGCCTTCTTTATGAGTTCCTTAGCTCTCTTCAGGAAAGCCGCCGTACTTTCACCCTCCAGTTTCTTGACTTGCTCCGGGATCTTGGTTTGCATTGCAAAAGGTTCCTCAGAGCCGCAGGATCGCCCTGGCACATGGCGTTCAAGCTCGAACGCAAAGCGCCTGCTTGAACATACATAAACTCTTCGAATGGGTCCAGGATGTCTCCGGAAGCCTCCGGAGCAGCTGCGATGGAGGCTTCCGGAATGCGGGCGAGGCCCGGCTCTGCCTGTTGTTTGCACTTCTTGCCGGAGGATCGAAGCGTTCGAGGGGCGCCCGGAGACATGGCCTGCCAATTGAGTTGCGCCTCGGCTGTCGCCACCACCGACTGCCGCTTGAGATGTTGGTGGTTCAGGTACTTCGTGAGCAGGACAACCTTCTTGCGCTCTTTCCTCCAAGCCTCGAATCCCTCCGCTGGTAGCTGCCCTTCGTTCGGTGTCTGCTCGGCCCAGAGGTGGTTTGGTGCACCAGCGCGGAAGCTACAGTGTGGCGAACAGCGTTTGCTTCGTATCCTCTTCCGTCACTGGGGCATTCGGGCAATCTGCGTTGCTCAGGACCTGACGGCACGGGTCATGCATGCAGCGTAGCACTCAAGGTGCTTTTCTTTGGGCCCTCCGCGCCTGGCAGTGCTTGCGCCTGTTGTGCTGCTCGGAGGAGGTCTTGAACACAGGGCCAGCGGTCCCAGGGCCTTCGGACTTATGCTGCGGGGGCCGTCTACGTCCAAGGCTTCGATGGCGCCTGGAAGCTAGGAGGCCCACTTCCGGTCGGTTGAGGAGCTCAAACCCCGACTAAACCATTAGCCTCTAAACCCTCAACTTTGGAAGGCAGGGTGTGTACTTATTGATCGGGCTCAAAGGGTTCTTTGGGAGCTTAGGGCTTCCAGGGGTCAAAGTCAAGGGAAAACAAGGGTGGCCATCCCTGATCCAGAAGCTCTGAACCCGAAACCCGGAATTCCTAAGCTCTATACTATAAAAGAAGCCTACGGTCATGATCACGCATAGCTGCAATGGGGTCCTACATCTTCTACCTCCCAGTTCGCACTGGCACTCACTCATAATTGAGACGAGCACCTCCTACACTGAGCACGGGGTCAGAAGACATCGTCATCATCTCCAACACCATCCTCGCGCTCGCCACAACTTGGACCCATCTTTCTTGCAACAACAATGTAAGGCTTATCATACTACCGTTTTGTCCGTAAATTCAGGGGATTTCCGATCCTATATCATAATAGTCTCTTTGTGGTAAAGTCTGCCAAAGTGGGCTTGACAACGCCGTATATGATTGACCAATACTAGTTACTAGAATCGGCCCAAGGCGACAAATACTCGGAACCTCGGCAGATATCCTCTCCGCTCCTGCATAAGACTCGAGATTCACTCAGCCCACGCTCAAGACCCAATATCGGGGCCTGCATGCAAAGGACACGACGACGACCACCACCACAACCAAAACCACAACCACAACGGCAACAGCCGCAGCAACAATATTGACAGTAAACAACAACAAAAACTATAAACGATAAGTCCAAGAACAATGTTAATTCTACGAATACCAACTATAATAACAATAAAGCAAGAGGGGGTCATAGCAGCCAAATAGGTAAAAAACGTTTCTTACTCTCCTAGCCGTAGCAGAAGGCCATAGTAAAACCAAGAACTCCCAGGGCCTATGCCCCGAAGCCCCAATAAAACCCTGTCCACTGTGGGATTAGGTACTGCCCCCATACAGTAAGAGTCTATGATAGGGCTACTATTAAAAAGGTCCTAATATATCTATATAAGGAATATTATTCAACTATTACTGAGTGGGGGCCCTACCCAAGAAAAGGACAAAAAGGATGCTCATTTTGGCACGGGAGCGCTCCATCCGAGCGTTACGCATTGCCAAGCTTTTTGCTCTGACTGCTGCTGTACAAGGCCCCCCCCAGGGCGCAGAGACTCCAATGTCCTGGATTAGGTCGAAGGTTTTGGGCTTTGGGGTTCAGGGTTTCGCGTTCAGGGCTATGGCTCCAAGGTTTAGAATGTAGCGTCTGAGGCTGACCTCAACGTTCATCGTTTGGTGAATTTGGCGGAGGGGGGGGGCACTTCAACAGGGGCCTGAATAAATAGAACACCATAGCCATAACTCTATCACTGCATATATGGACTGCAAGAGGAAACTTTACCATCAGGTTAGGCTCCTGGGGAATTGGGGTTCAGGAACCCTCTTGCGACCCAAAGAACACCTCGGAGTCTGCAGGAGAGGCTGCAAAGATGTTCGGGTAGCGCTCACGGTCTCTCTGAACCACGCATACCCGCTGTGCTCTGGCGACCTTGGTGGTTCGCCTTGGAGAGCCGCGGCATTTCTTAGAGGGCCACGTTGCACCCAACGAAATACCGAAGTGGATCAAGGGAGCAGTTCGTGCATGAAGGCGCCGAACTCTAAACCCTAAACCCCACACCCTAAACCCTTATAGATCTCGTTAAAGAAACCGTTATAGATCTCTGAAGAGGAACCAACCAGACAGATCTCTGAACTCCAAACCCGAAGCTACGAAAAACACTTCCTCAGCCCTGCAGGCCTGGTCATGAACCACTCCCACACTCAGGGGTTTCGGTAGAGGCCCTGATACCTTCTTGCAGAAGACCCTGGTACCTGCGCAGTCTTTACTTCACTTGCCCAGGTAGCTTAACTTTAAAGACATGCGTGATCACGACATCTCTACGCACCGGTATCTTCCGAAACCCCCGTTTAAGGGTACTGAAACTAAAGCTCCCTTCGGCGAGGCAAACTCTCCGAGCTCTGCCTCCAGCCGAGCCTAAGCTCACGTCACTTCGCTTAGGCGCCACCCGTGACGGCCTTCAAACTGGGCGTTGCGAAGTCGTTGGCCTTCGGCGGGCTCAGGGCTCCGATTCGTGCATATTCAAGATTATCTGAGATATCTCGTTCGGGTGTTTAATCGGTTTTGCAAGAGTTCCATACGTCTTCCTGTTGCTTCCGACAAGGCTTCACCGTGCAAGGTTCTGAGTTGGTTACGAACTAGGGATTGTGGGTTCAAGGTTTAGGTTTTGGGGTTCAGGGTTAGTGGTTCGGCGGGTTGAGCAGGGTCGAAGGTTCGCGAGGTCATCAGCGCGTACGTTTGCCAGATCATAGTAACGGACCATCCAGTGGCGCATTGGAACCTGGTCGCTCAGGCGTGGAACAACCCAAAGTGCGGTTGCGAGACCACCAACAGAAAGGCTGCGAAGGCATCTCCCTTAGCCGAAAACATGGCCCATCTTTGTCTCAGTGTTTGACATGCAGCAAGGCGTTTGCAGAAGGGAGCGGCTAGGCTCCCTGAACCCTGCTGTTTGCTGATTCCGTCGACTGCTTTTCCCTCCCTCAAGACATAAGAAGCCCGATGGCAGACCCCCTTAACTTACAGTAGAAGCCAAAAAGTTGGAAACCCAATAGCCTCAATCCTTAAGAATAACGTATAGGGACTCCCAGCACTCTTTGTCCTTAATCCGGTTTCCAACTTTATGGAGTTGACTGCGAAAGGCCGACAAAACCTGCTGCCGTAAACCCTAAACTTGTGGTACCCTGAATACCCTGAAAAGACCCCTTTGGGAAGAAGTCCACGGTAAGGAGCCCTCAAAGATCTCTAGAAAGAAACACAGCACCCTTTAAAGGAACCGAAACCCTAAACCCTACACCCTTACAGCACCCTTTGAAAGAACCGAAACTCTAAACGCTGAACCCTGAACCCTACACCCTAAAGCCACGTAAAATTCTTAAAAAACGGACCATCCCTTCGAGATCCGGGCCGGAGTGGCGAGGCGCTTGCCGGTCTGGAGCGGGCACTCCGGATGGTCGCTGTGGCGGATGATGTGCTCCATCGGAAGGACCTGCACCTCCCGTGACGTGGGCACTTTTGGGGTTCAGGGTTTTAGGATTTGGGGTTTAGGGTTTCGGGCTGTGGGGCTTAGGCTTTAGTGACGTAGGCTTTCGGGTTCAGGGTTTAGGGTTTAGGGCTGAGGGGGTTTAGATGGGAGTGGCTCATTCAATTTAAAGATCCTTTCGCTCCAGAGGAAGGACCCGCACCTCCCGTGATGCAGCACTTGTTAAAGTCTGCATCGCCCATGATGTAAGACTCGTTTAGAAGGTCTTTAGATGGGGGTGGGGTGCTCAGTTTATGTAAGGATCCTTCGATTGGGGATTCTGTGATCTGGGATGTGCATCCGGAAGTATGCATCTTCGAAACTCCCAGGTAGCAGACAATATCGACAGGGTTCATGCTCATCCGAACTAATAGAGTGTATGCAGTATACATACATGCTAGCAAAATCCGCTTGTCCATCATGTGGCGGGCTATAACAGCATATAATACTAAGTTACTACTGGAGATGGTAACATATGTCCCCGTGTAGTTGCATTCTTCCTCTATCTTCGTACTTCATACTCACAGACACAAGTGTGCGACCGCAGAGAGTATGAATACAACAGCGCACGTGAATCCGCTACAACGTTTGTCTGCGATGGCACGAAGATGTACCAAGCCAGTACGCAACAAAAGCCCCGTCTGCTTATAAACCCTAAAACCTAAACCTTAAACTCTAAACCCTGAACCCGAAACCGGATGGGTTGAGATGGATGCAACAGCTGAAGCACCGAACTCGTAAGTGGCTTAGGCAGAAGTTCGGAACTTGCCAGTTCAAGAGCTGTTGGTTGGTTCTGGACCCCATGTAAAAGTTTTGGAGAACTCGTACAGAAGGCCGGCCAAAACCCTTTTGGCACCCTTACAAACACCTTCTTGAGCCTTTCTAAGATACCCTAAACCCTAAACCCTAAACCCTAAACCCTAAACCCTAAACCCTAAACCCTAAACCCTAAACCCCTAAATGGAGCCTCCAGGTTTCACAAACCTCGGTTGTAGGCATCGTACCACAGCAAGTACTACCCGGCTCACAGCCCCGAACCCTAAACCAACCAGATTTCCTTCCCTCTGATCCTAAACCCTAAACCCTAAAAGCCGTAAACCCTAAACCCTAAAAGCCGTAAACCCTAAACCCTAAAAGCCGTAAACCCTAAACCCTAAAAGCCGTAAACCCTAAACCCTAAAAGCCGTAAACCCTAAACCCTAAAAGCCGTAAACCCTAAACCCTAAAAGCCGTAAACCCTAAACCCTAAAAGCCGTAAACCCTAAACCCTAAAAGCCGTAAACCCTAAACCCTAAAAGCCGTAAACCCTAAACCCTAAAAGCCGTAAACCCTAAACCCTAAAAGCCGTAAACCCTAAACCCTAAAAGCCGTAAACCCTAAACCCTAAAAGCCGTAAACCCTAAACCCTAAAAGCCGTAAACCCTAAACCCTAAAAGCCGTAAACCCTAAACCCTAAAAGCCGTAAACCCTAAACCCTAAAAGCCGTAAACCCTAAACCCTAAAAGCCGTAAACCCTAAACCCTAAAAGCCGTAAACCCTAAACCCTAAAAGCCGTAAACCCTAAACCCTAAAAGCCGTAAACCCTAAACCCTAAAAGCCGTAAACCCTAAACCCTAAAAGCCGTAAACCCTAAACCCTAAAAGCCGTAAACCCTAAACCCTAAAAGCCGTAAACCCTCCACAGATCGCGGCCTTGCTGCTGGGATCGGCAACTCCTGACAGTCGGAATTCGAAGGCCTTCGCCACCTCCGTCCAGGCCTCTCTTCGGAATGCTGCTTTTTTTTAGGGCTTTCAGGGCCATTTTAGGGTTTGGGGCTTAGGGTTTTGGGGTTTGGGGCGTAGAGTCTAGTTGGGTATTAGGGTTCGGGGTTTAGGGTTTGAAGCTTTTAGGGTCTAGTTGGGCGTAGTATATTATAGTTATATAGGCCGCTCTTTGGAACGCCACACGGTTGGGGGTTTGGGGGTTTATTTCTTGAAAATATGGAGGGGGGCTTAGGGTATAGGGCTTAGGGGTACTGGCAATGCTAATGAATCATTGTGGTACCTGCTATTGTTCCTCTTGTTTCGATGCGACATGCGACTTCAATCGCAAGATTACAGCTGCCAGGGTCGCGAAAATTCGTGATAAACTACGGTCCTCCAGCATTTAAATAGCACGTTGGGTATAGTACTCTGTAGGTTACACAGAATTTCGAGAAATACTCGTACTGATGACTGAGACCCCAAGAATACCTTATGTCGGTGGTCATGTCCATGACGGTCCTTCTAGTTTCGGGCCCCTTGCTTTGCTGAAACCCCTATAATCAAAGTGCTTTCACGTTGAATCTTAACCATAACTCCAAAATCCAAAAGCCGAGCCCATTTACTACCCCGATATAGGAGAATGCAGCTTCCACGGCCCCTTGACAATCTCATTATGAACCCCAAGACACATTTCCTTCCACGATTTCTGCCCAATCCCTACACCCAGAAAGAACGTAAATTGAAACCCCTGAAACCCTGAAACCGTAAACCCAAAACCCTGAAATCGCAAACCCTTAACCCGAACACCCTTAACCCTCATAGTGCCCTCGCGTAACCCTCTAAAGGAACCCTTACCGTACTGATTGAACGGAACCCAACGAAAACTCATATAAAGTAGGAAAGGGGCGTTAATCACTACAATGAGGATTGGGGGTTTTGTCATGCTTGTATCTTAGTAGGAAGCCTAAGGATTAGCATTAGTACGCTGAACCACACTTGAAGGAACCCTGAAAGGAAACCTTATAGGAGCCCTTACAGCAACCCTTTGGTAGGAACTCTTAAAGGAGCCCTGTAAAGAACAACCCAAACAAAGGAACCCTTATGGGAGTCCCTTTTAAGGGAACCCATAAGAGGAGCCCTCTGTAGTACCATTTGTACTCTGAGACTCCAAGGTCCATTAATTGAGGAAGTTACGTTAAATCATAGTAGGATCCCTAATACGATTTATTTAAGGTATATTCCTTAACTCAGGGATATAGGAATCGCTTACACCAAAACCCTCTAAATCCCCTACAGATCCCCTAAAGGAACCCTAAGGTATATTCCTTAGTTAAAGGATATTGGAGTCTCTGGGTATACTTGGAGGTTCATGGGTAGTCATAAGTGGGGGGTTATAAGTCCCCTAATATGGGAAGTAAAGCTACCCTACTTGAAACCCTACTTGTAACTACGCATGAACCTTCAGAGACTCCAATATCCCTTCATTAAGGAATATACCTTAAATTATAATAGGATCCCTATTATAACTAAAGGTCTATTCCTTATTAATATTGGTCTTTGGGAGCCCAAACAAAGCCCCCTTTTGCCTCGGGCCCGGCGAGGAAGCCAGCAGCCTTGGCTTTGGCGAAGGCTAGGCGGAAGCCGTGCCAGTCCTCTGCCCAAGGGGATGCTTAGGCTTGGGCTTTAAGGGTTTAGGATTTTTGGGTGCTTAGGGTTTAGGGTTTAGGGTTTTTGATGTTTAGGGTTTAGGGCTTAGGATTTTTGGGGTTTGGGGTCTTAAGATGGCTTGTCGATAAGGGGGAGTTGCGGTGTCTAGCCATGTTCATTCCGTTCCAGATGTGCCAGGGTTCGTTTCATTGAAGTAGTAATCCCTATAAAGAACCCTGTTCCAGTCATCAAACCCCCTCTCTCACTGGCCCAAAATCCAAGGAAATAAAAGTTGAAACTTTCAGAATCGACAAAAACCCAGAATTTGACACCAGGGGCTGCCCCAGATTTGGACCCAGATCCTAAAAACTTATGTTAAGCATCATAGGCCCCCTTCAACTTATAAGAACCCAAAAGTCGAAAAGTTGAGTTTACAGCCAATAAGCTCCAGTGCTAAGGTCTTACCCTGGAGGTCCCAACGACCGGGACCTGAAAAGGTTCTTTGAGTGCGGTCCATTTAAGGGCTTATGGTTTCGGGTTTAGTAGGGATTAGGGGTTTAGAGTTTAGGCGTTTAGGGGTTTAGGGGTTTAGGGTTCAAGGGAACCAGGTTGAGGGGTTTGGGGGTGTAGCATTTAGGGCTTAGCGGTTTAGGGTTTAGGGGTGTAGGGTGTAGGGATTAGGAGGGTCTAGGGTCTACTACTTGGATGTTCATGGGTACTTATGAGTGGGATTGCAAGTCCCTGAATATGGGTTATAACTTTTGTTACCCTACTTAAAGCCCTACAAATAACTGCCCATGAACTTCTCCCAGTAGGGTTATAACCACCCGACTACCTAAATTAATGATGCCAAAAAGGTGCGGCAAAAGCTACCTTACTCAGATAGTCCTGTCAACCCGCAAAACTCTAATCTCGTGTTTAACCCTTAAAGGAACCCTCTGTGAATAAGTGAAGCCCGACCCCTTGCTGATCGCACCTGCACATAGAAGCAAATCGAGCCCAAGTTCGTCAGCTGCTGCGATGCATCCACCTAGGGGTCTAGCGTTTAGGGTTGAGGATTTACGGAGTTAGGAGTTCTAACACCCTGGTCAGAAGCCGAAACCCTGCAACCCTAAGCCGCAAACCTGTGAGCCCAGGAATGTCCCCGAATACAGGAGCCCCAGTCAATAGAAAAAGGGTTTCGGGGTATGTTGTAGTATAGAACAATTTTGACAATGACAATAAGGAGACATTTCTGCAATTTTGTCCGACCCCTGGCTAGATTGCACTATGGCAACGCATTCAGTTGGCTTTGCAGCATGATATAAGGGCCTGGATAAGAAACATAGCGCTGTCCTTCAGGGGCTAAGCCACATTTTAGTATTCTGTTCAGTAACCTCGGGAAATACTATGAGGGTGTCGGAGATTCGAGCTCCACACTCATCCTTAGCGCAACTTTGGAGCCCTGAAAGGATGTTTTGGTGAAGTGTTGAGGGTTCCGTTGAAGCACTTGAAGGGTCGCTTAAGGATATATAAGGGTACCTGGAAGGGTTCTGGAAGGGTCCCTTTAGGGATTCCCTTGAAGTCTATGTTTCGCAAGAGCTTGGGATTTAAGGCAAGTAAGGTCCATGCACTTGGGACGTACACGGTAAAACAGAGACACGCTCTACTGTCCACTGTGCTTGGGAAATACAATCACGTCTACCAAACTACCAAGTATACGTGGGTGGAGGCGAATCTATTGAGTTCACCGGTGTGACAAGTCCAAGAATCCCTGCAAACGTATGTTCTATCGAGTCTTGAAATTTCTGGTTTGGGGGGTTTGCAGCTTTTGTTTAGGGACGAGTGCTCAAAGCCTTAACCCTGAACCCAAGCCCCGATTCCCTCACCCATAAACCCTAAACCCGACTCATGTAGCGCCACAAATAACAGTGGCCGGGTCTAGTATACTTATGCAGAAAAGGCCCGAAGAAGTAGCATTACTACAACAGTTTTAAGCTTCGATTTCCCAAACCCTAAACCCCAAACCCCTTAACCCCAAAGACCCTAAACCCCAAAAATACCCTAAGCCCCTAGTACCCTAAACCCCAAAGACCAAACCTACGGAGTCTTCCTGGCCTCAAAAGACATTGTCTGGTGCAGGCCTGGGCATGAGCTTCCGAGTCACACATCCGGTTACTTGGAGGTTCATGTCATGGGTGGTTACACGGGCTCCTTTAAGGGTCCCTTTAAAGGGATCTATATTGATTTAGGGTTTAGGGATTAGGGCCTACTTGGAGGTTCATGGGTGGTTATAAGGGCTCCTTTAAGGGTCCCTTTAAAGGGATCTATAGGGATTCTATAAGGGTATAGGGTTTAGGGCCTACTTGGAGGTTCATGGGTAGTTATGAGTGGGGTTATAAGTCCCCTAATACCGGTTTTAAGTATAGCTACCCTACTTAGAACCCTACTTGTAACTATCCATAGGGTGCGTCGTCTGGTTTAGGGGTTGAGGGTATAGGGTTAAGGGTTCGGGGTTCAGGGTTTAGGGCTTAGGAGTTTGGGAGTTTATGGTTTGGGGTTTGGGGGAGGTTTTGTGCAATAGGCTGCTTGCAGGGGTCCCCGTCCGGAGAAAGATATGCTTTTCAAGAGAAAGCCGTAACCCTTGATTAAACCCCTAAAGCCCCAAACCCTAAACCCTGAATGAATCCTAAACTCTACAGCCCCAAGCTCTAACCCAAAACCTCAAACCCCTAAGCCTTCAACCCTGAAATCCTTAAGCCCTTAACCCTAACCCTAGAGAGACAGCCCTTGTTTAGAACCGCACCAGGTTGTGAGGCTCCTGCGACCTTAACATTGACAGGTGCTTGGTACAATTTAGGGGACGACAATGAACTTCGCCCGGGCTCTGCCAACAGAAACCTTTGACAGTACAGCTGAAATTTCCGGCGGAATCGCTGACTGTGTAGCTACATGAGAAATCCCCCTACAGCCATTAACCTAAAATCCCAGAACCCTATGACCTCAAACCTAAAATCCTCAAGCCCTTAACCCTAAACCCTTGAGCCCTCAACCCTACAGCCATTAACCCTAAATCTCAGAACCCTAAACCTCCACATTCCTAAACCCCCGCTCTCCTTGCGAAATCCCTCGCAGAACCTGGAGCGAAGCGTGATAGATTTCCTTCAAGAGGAGCCCTTGAACCCCCCTAAATCAATGGAACCATAAAGCCCTGTTGGATCCTTGCAAGAAATCCTAATGTCCTTGGCGGAACTGCAATCAGACCCCGTTATGTTGTGGAACCCTGCAGCCCTCAGAACAAAAACAATAAATCTCTTGAAGGAGCCCTGAAAGGAAAGCTGAAGATCCCTTCCATGAAACCTATAGGTCCCTTTTAACCCTAAACTCTAAACACTAAACCCCCCTCTCAGAATTCCAAAAAAAAACTGCCAGCCGGGCGGCCGTCGCCCGGGCTAAAGTGCAAAAGAAAGGAGTCCACCTGCGCCTGGCGCTCGTAGACCGAGTACTTCCTGTGGAAATCATAGGGTTTAGGGGTTTAGGGTTCAAGGGTTTAGAGGTTTAGGGGTTTAGGGTTTAGAGGTCTAAGGGTTTAAGGTTTAGGGGTCAAAGGGTTTATTGGTTTACATGGTCTGGGGGCTTCTGGGGCTTAGGGGCTTAAGGGATCCAAGGGTTGAAGCGGTCGAGTGGCTTAGGGGTCTGGGGCATTAAACGTTCTGGGTTTAGGTTTAAGGGTTCAGTGGTTTAGGGTTTAGGGTTCAGAGGTTTAGGGCTTAGCGGTTTAGGGTTTAGAGGTTTAGGGTTTAGGGTTTAGGGTTCTGGGTTTAGGTTCAAGGGTTTAGGGTTTAGAGGTTTAGGGTTTAGGTTCAAGGGTTTAGGGTTTAGAGGTTTAGGGTTTAGGGTTCTGGGTTTAGGTTCAAGGGTTTAGGGTTTAGAGGTTTAGGGTTTAGGGTTCTGGGTTTAGGTTTAAGGGTTAAGAGGTTCAGGCTTTAGGGCTGAGGCCCGAACCCTCAAACCCTGAAACCCTCAACACTCTGGCCCTAAAGAAGTCTGCCAGGTCCTTGTGAGATAAATCATGCTGGTGATAAGTGACCCTCATAGTAACACCTACACCTAAACCATGAATCGAAACTATTTTGGCTTCAGCGCAGTTACTCCGATCCCAATATCACGGAAACCATGCCTTACAGCAATAGAACCAACAGAAATCATTGTAGTACCCTTGTAGGAAACTCTTTTGGCTTCCATATATATATTATGTGTATATATATATATATACATATTATATTATATTATATTATATTCTATTATATTCTATTCTATTATATTATATTATATATTATATTATATTATATATTATATTATATATTATATTATATTATATTATATTATATTATATTATATTATATTATATTATATATTATATTATATATTATATTATATATTATATTATATATTATATAATATTATATAATATTATATAATATTATATTATATTATATTATATTATATTATATTATATTATATTATATTATATTATATTATATTATATTATATTATATTATATTATATATATATATACATATGTATACATATGTATATATATAATTACTTAATTATATTTTTATGGGGGTTTCCCAAGATATGGGACCCTGATATAGTACCCTAAATCGTAGGAGCCTTATTATAAGGAACCCAAAATAACGTACCCCTCATTTTCAGAAACTCTCAGACATCATACGACCATATGTAATTATGCTTACAGTAACCCTTATAAGGAACCGGTTTATGCCTTCCATGTTGCGGGCTGGTCCTTGTCACTGCCGCCCCGAGGATCTTCTCGTAGAAGTTCGCGGCGCTCGCCATCTGGGCTCTCGGCGCTTCTAGGATCTAAGGCTTAGGGTTTAGGGTTTAGGGTTTAGGGTTTGGGGTTTGGGGTTTGGGGTATGGGATTTGGGGGCTTGGGGGTTTAGGGTTTAGGGTTTCGGAAGTAGCTAACTAAGCTTCAGAGCTTTGGGCTTGGGGTGTCGGAATTAGGGTGGATTAGGGTTTAAGGTGCTGGTGTTACGGTTGAGGTTCCCTAAACCCTACACCCTAAACGAGCCTAAACCCGTGAAATCCGAAGAAGCATCTGCTCGACCTTGCGTTGGATTCATGATTGGAGGCTCCCAAGCTTTCATTTCTAAAGGCTCGAGGGCTTGTCAGGTTTGCGGTTTAGGGCTCCTTTCAGGGTTCCTTCAAGGGTCGGGGTCCTTCTTAAGGGTTTGGGTTTGGGTATATGGTAGAAGCCCAAAAGTTGGAAACCCGATAGCCTCAATCCTTAACAGTAATGTATAGGGAATCCCAGCACTATTTGTCATTAATCCGGTTTCCAACGTTTTGGGGTTTACTATACGCACTCAGGATTGAGGATCTACCAGTCGAAGCATTGGTCCAGAATCCTTTCCCTGTCTGGACAGGAAACGCTACGAAACGCAACACACACACACGCTCAAACACACTGTCACATGGGAGTTTCCGATAGTAGGGGACCCTAATATAGTACCCTAAATAGTAGGATCCTTATTATAAGGACCCCACGCAGTTCTTGCATCAGCCATGATATGAAGATCTCCACTTGAAACCCTATGAAGGAGAGAATGGTGACGCACCGGGGTCGTCGAATGTTTCTTCCTTCGGGTCTGCCATCCTAGATGCTGTCCGAGACTCCACCGACACTACTTCTTGTAAACCCTGCTGCTTCTGTTTTACAAAAACCTCGTTTATTTTGGGGTACGTTAAAGTATACGTACTACTTCACCCTAAACCAGGAATCGGAACCCAACAAAGAACTGAAGCCTCAGACCAAAATTCCAAAACCCTAAACCTCTAAATCCGAACCCCAAACTTCCAAAACCCTAAACACCCCTAAACCCGAACCCCGACAGTCCAAACAAAACCCTAAACCCTAAACCCCTAAACCCGAACCCCGAAATTCCAAAACCCTAAATCCGAACCCTCAACCCTAAACCCCTAAACCCTACCCCCGAACTTCCCAGACCCTCCTTTGTGGGTTTCGTCCCTCCCCTGGCACCTGGGCCCGGTTCTTCAGCCGCACCACCGCCGCGCTGAGGGAAACCACGTTCGAGGCCGGAAGGCCCTCCTTACTTGGAGAATCTTTAGGGGACTTAGAAAGTAGGTAGTAAGTAGACTTATAAGTACCCTAAAAGGGACCGTAATTGGTGTTATGATACTTATAAGCCCCGAAAATAACCAGTTTCTAAGTCCCCCGATCCTCCAAAAAAGCGGCGTTGTCTGCGTTTCGGTGCTTAGGGAATTTTGGGGTTCAGGGTTTCAGGAATTTAGGGTTTAGGGAATGTAGGATTTCGGGGTACGGGTTTAGGGCTTCGGGTTCAGGTTTTGGGGCTTAGAGGGGCTCGGGTTTAGGGGTTTAGGTTTCAAGGGGTTTCGGGTGCCGGGTTTCGGGTTTAGGGACTTTAGGGATTAGGGTTTAGGTGGTGCTTGGGTTTATTCACACAGCTTACACAGCATCTGCGAGTTGCGGTTTCGGGACGGCTAAGATACCCCGCAAGATTTCTTATGATGCCACATGGTGTTTTGAGACTGTCTGTGAGCCCCTTCCATGATGTCTTATGACTGCCAACGATTTCCATGATTTGTTGCGAATTGTTGCTCGCGTAAACTTCCCTTTCGTGAGTGTACACGCAAGAATGCCACCACCAACGATACGGCAGGACTACTGCCCAACGGCCCCGAAACTGAAGAGCAAACGTCATTTGGAGACACAAATGACAAACTTTCCTTGGGTGGGCTTCGGCTGTTCGCTACTTCCGGGACGTTAACGTTAGCTATGAGCCATTTTGGGCTCCCCACTCTTGGACGACCCTTGTTTTCAACTGTCGGTTTACCGTCGAGTGGGCTTGCTATGTACCAAGAAAAAAGATCACGGGTAACAAAACTGAATGTGCCGAATCCGTTGTGGGAAAAACCGGGCCACCCCCTTGCAAAATGGCCGACGACTTTCATGTTTTTGCTCTGCACAGGCACCTTCTTGAAAGTGGGTTTAGGGCGGGTTTGGGATTTTGTGGTTGAGGGCCCAGGACAAGCAGGATAATCCCTGCAACCTAAAGAAAAAAGAGCACAACCGCCCGAAAGGCAAAATCGTCGAAAGCTGACATTCCGAACTCTCTGACTAGACCCCAAAGCCCCCACACCTTAAGCCCAAAAACTCCCTAAACCCTAAACCCTCCCTCGGAAACCCTAAGAAAGCCGAAACTTCGAGCCTTGAACCCGCTCCCCCAGACCCTAAACCCCAAACCCTAAAACCCCAAAGCCCAAAACCCCCAAACCCTAAAACCTGTACAAAAACCCCAAACCCTAAACCCCCAAACCCTAAAACCTGTACAGATAACACTGAAACCTATACATATACCCTAGACCCTAACTTCCCCTTCAAGCCTAAAACCTATACATATACTCTAAACCCTAAACCACTTAACTCCTAAACCCTCAATCCTAAAAGAAAGCCTACCCAGACCCCCGGGAGGATCCAAAAATTAAGATAGATTCCTTAATGTGGGTTCCTATAAAGTACCCTTAGTGGTATAGGGCCCCAATTTAGGGATCTACTTTCTAGATCCTCGCGGGGGTCTGGGTAACTCATCGCCCCGCGTCGGCGGCCGGGATGGCCCGGATCTGCTCCGGGAAGCCTTCCGGGGCCTCGGAGACCTTCGGGGCTTCGGGGTTTTTCGGTTCCTTTGAAGGGCATTATAGGGGTTCCTTTAAAGGGTACTATAGAGGTTCCTTTCAAGGGGACTATAGGGGTTCCTTTAAAGGTGACTACAGGGGTTCCTTTAAAGGGGGGCTGTAGGGGTTCCTTTGAAGGGGACTATAGGGGTTCCTTAAACGGGGGTTATAGGGGTTCCTTTAAAGTACCTTTGGGGCTGACTGTAGGAATCTGATTAAGAAACCTTGTGCCTTCATATTCTATGAGGGTTCCTTTAAAGGGATCTACATATAAGGGATCTATAAAACGTTTAGGGTTTAGGGTAGGAACCTGATTAAGAAACCTTGGGCCATCTTTTAAAGTTCCGTATATGAAACCTACAGTTTTGGGGTTACAGGTTCCTATATGAGGGGCTTCAGGATTTTGGGACTCGATGGGGTTCCTTTGAAGGGTTTTCATAGGGGTTTTGCTTTATAAATGGTATTATAAGGGGTTCCTTTAGAGGGTATTTTCGGTGTTCCTTTAAAGTTTAAAGGGTTTTCATAGGGGGTTCCTTTAAAGGCTCTGTAAAAGCGCAAAAAAGGGATCTATAACAGGACTGAGGGGCTTCAGGTGTTGGGAATTCGCGCGTTTAGGGTTCAGGGTTTAGGGTTTAGGGTTTCAGGGCTTCAGGCTCAGGGGGTTACGGTTTTGGGATTTAGGGTTTAAGGGCTTGGGGGTTTAGGGTTCAAAGTTTTAGGGATCAGGGTTCAACCAGGTAGCAACAATGGTAAGGGTACGACTTGATAACAGAGCCCGCAGCCGGCATGTCGACGTCTCGAGACTCTGAACCCACACTCGGATGGTGCAACCATACAAAACGAGAAACGCGAAACTTCGCGAACACCTCAACAAGAAGCACAACGCCAAACCCCAAGTGCCCAGCCAACCCCAAGCGAACCCAAGCAAAACTAAAAAAACAAAACAAAAAAGCCGGTGATGCGATGCTTACGTCGTAACGCAATCGACTCAGGGCTCCGATGTTGGATTTAGACAATATCAGGGCTCAGGATCTGGAGATTTATGGTGTTGGGCTTGAGGCGCGGGGCCCAGAACATGAGAATTAACCCAGAGACCCCAATATCCCTGAAATAAGGAATATACCTTAAAGTATATTAGAGATCCTACTATAATTTAAAAAAATCTTCCTTAATTAAGGGATATTGGAGTCTCTGGGAATGGGTTCAAGGCTAGGGGCTGTAGGGCCTGTTCCCGAAACCCTAATCCCGAAACGCCTAATTCCTAAACCCTAAACCCCTAAACTCTAAACCCCTAAACCCCTAAACCCTAATCCCTAAACTGTAAACTCTTCAGGGCCCTAGCCAGCACGAAGTTCGTGCGCGATGGATCCTTCAGCCTGCACAGGGCCAAAAAAAAGCCTTATGGCTTCTGCTTGAGGTTAGGGTCTAGGGCTTGGGGTTTAAGGTTTGGGGCTGAGGGCCTCGTGTTCAGGTCTTAGGATAGGGTTTAGTTGTTCATGCTAAAGGTTTAGGGCCTAGAGTGTAGGGTTTGCAGCCCAATCAAGCAGAACAAGCATAGAGTGCAACGCAAGTAGTTCCGAGGTCCTCAGAATGAGAAGTCATGGCATGGTGGCTTTAGGGTTCCAGGACACGCCTTCTGGCATGGGAAGGTTCGGATTGAGTGCTGGTAGCTTTGAGGCGTGGAGGGTCGTGAGCAACTGCAATTAGGTTTCTCCACTGGGCCCTTTTAACGTAATGATGCCCTAACTTGCCAATATCCACCCAGCTTGCTGACCATGAGCCTTCGACCAAATCTGATCGCTTGTCGGCGATTCTGGTGTCTCTTCTCGACAGCTCACACCTTAAGCCACAAACCCACAATGCCGATCTCTATTGTAAGTCAAACTCCCTTGTCAAATTGCCTGGTAGACATCTTTCTTTATGAGACCCTCAGTTTGTGGAATGTCTGAAAAGTAATTAATCTACCCTGCCTGATGGCATACTCGCCGCCCGACTGCGACTCCAGCATCTCGTCCAAGAGCAGCTGGTTCAGCTGGTGGTTCCTCAACCCGACGCTCCAGACATGCTACGTCTTTTCGGGTTCAGGGTTTAGGGTTTAGGGGTTAGGGGTTAGGGTTTAGGGTTTCGGGTTTGGGTTGAGGGTTTAGGGCACTCTCCGGAGATTCGGATCTCGAGTTTCGGGTTTTTGCTCTCATGCTTGGCTTTGGGTTTCAAACTCCGCCAAGCAATGGAACAAGATCTGCGTCTCATGTTCGCTGACATCGATCCTCAAGACAGACATGCGATGCCCTTTCGGTACACGAACCGCTCAAGGCCGGAAGGCGAACTCCAGCCAAAATATTTGTGGCTGGTTTTAGGGTGTGGCTTTTAGGGTTTAGGGTTTAGGTGTAGTTGGAGTTGAAGGTACCCATTATATCCCTTAGTAGTTTGGCGTTTGCGACTTTGGAATGCCACTCCTGCAACAACTAAACAGACACTTGCGCGCGCTCCCAAATACTACAACAATCCGGGCGTCATGATGTCCTTCACCCGAACCCCAAATCCTGCATCCTTAACCCTAACCCACAAAAAAAATCCGGGCGTCATGATGTTGAGCATGTCGGTGGTCTCACGCATGTCCTCCCAGCAGGAGAAGGCTGCGGAGCTTCTGGAGGCTCAGGGGTTCGAGGCTCCAAGGTCTCGGAAACTGGGCTTAGTTGTGGGTTTAGGGGATAGGGCTTAGGGCTTAGGGTTTAGGGCTTAAGGCTTAGGGCTTCGGGCTCAGGGTTTAGGGCTTAAGGCTTAGGGTTTAGATTCATTCCCAGAAAGCCCCACGCAAGGAACAAGTCAAAACAACTCCACACCCTACCTGTCGGGTATCATGGCGAACTAAAGGTTCACCTTTTGGGTTATATATAGGGATTATATAGGGACTATACTACCCCAAAAAGGTTAAAGGTAACCAACTCGACTACTAGGACACCCAACCCCCGGGGTCCTCGACCCAAACTCTCAGCTCACCCGGCCAGCGTTCTGGTTCCTGCCGGCTTCTCGGAGCCACCGACAGCAGCGAGGCTTTAGGGGCTTGGCAAAAAAGGGTGTAATGTTTAGGGGCTTGGTATTGGGGTGTCTAGGGTTGTCCTATAGTCCTTCAAGGCTTGTCGGGAGGTGAAGTCCTTTCAATTCTCAGCTGCTCCAGCTGAAGGTCTTGGCTCGAAGTTCAGTCAGTTCTTCCGCAGGGGGTTTAAAGTCGTGACATGGGGGGTCAAATCCGGAGTTGTGCCGGGTTTTTGTCAAGGTGGTGACGGGATTTTGCGTGTGCATTGGCCGCTGTTTGTGGCAACTCTGCTTCGCTGATGTATCCTTCAAGCCCCTTAGCAACAGACACTCTTTTGAGCATGTCGAAATTGCTTGTGAACACTTCGTCTCACGGGTTGGAAAAACACCCCTGTAAGACACACGATCTGTCTAGCGGTACTGCAGGATTTTATGCTGTAGGGGTTAGGGGTTAGAGTCTAAGGGTTTAGGGCATTGGGTGTTGTTGGCCGTAAGGTTGGCGGAATCGGAATGCCTTCGCACCGAAATTTTGATGCACCCAAGCACACATCTAGCCTCAGAGAGAAGCCTGGGTTTCGCTGTGAAGCCCCATCAGCCCTTTATAGAACCCTATAAACCCTTTTACACCCTCACAAAAACCCTATACACCCACCCAGAAGCCTGCACCCCCCAAACCTAGACCCCTAAACCGTAGAAAAGAACCTATTACAGGGTTCTTGTTGAAGTTTAACAAAAGCTACCGTAATAAAGAAGCCATATCATTTACTATAGACCCCTGCTGTGGTAACTTCAACTGAGTTCCTTGACTTGAACCCTAGAACCCTAAACCTTTGATCCTAAACCCCAAAACCCTAAACCCCATACCGACAAGAAGCGGGACCTGATCCGGGCGAACTGAGGCTCTGATCTGCGACGGCCCCGCACTGAACCGCAGCTCCTGCCATGTGGAAGGCGTTCTGCTGGCTTTCGGAACTGTGAGGGTTTAGGGCGGAGGTTTTAGGGTCAGGGCTTAGGTTTAGTGATGGCTTAGTGTTTCGGGAATACGGGGTTTAAGGGTTTAGGCGTCTAGGAGGGGATTCTGTGAAGTATGGTCGCCTGCTTGTGTCGGTTTACGCGGTTCTCTTGACTTAGCAAGCAACATAGGTTATGGGGATTCCCGCAGCCTCGGCTTTGAAGCTTACAGTTTCAAGGGGCTTCGGGCGTTGGGCTTGGGGTTCAGAGTTCAGGGATGAGGGCCTAGCGATTCTGGCTTTGGGTCCCCAGAGACTCCAATATCCCTTACGTAAGGAACAACCTTAAAATCATATATTAGGAATCCTACTAGACTTTGAGGTATCTTCCTCAATGAAAGGAAAGTGGAATCTCTGGTTTTCAGGCTTGGGTTGACACGGTCGCCTCTGCTGTGCGATGGCAGGTCATGCAGCATGCAAGTATCATCATGACGCGGGATTCCACAACCCTTCACGATGTACACCGATCGCCGAAAAAATCGCCACGATCACCTCTTATGGTATCCTTATGGGAGGGGAGCTCCAACAGGGATAGATAACCTACTCGTCCCTAGTTCTCTCTAGGGCTCCCTAAGGTCCCTTTAATATTCCCTAAACATCCCTTGTACCCTGCCCCTAGAACCACGTTGAGGACCCTATAGACCTTCATAGCCATGAAACCCGCTTTCCCGAACGCTAAACCCCTGAAGCCCTGAATTCCAAAACCTCAAACCCTGAGCCCCTAAACCCTATGATAGATCCCTTATAGCCCTTGTTCAAAGAGCCCTTAAAAGAAACCCTATAAAACCCATTTTAAAGGAACCTCTTAGAGCCCTGTAACGAAGATCTTACTTACCCAGAACCCCAAACCGCAAAAAATTGAATTCTGGAAACCCTCAAACCCTGAAAACCCACCAAAAACAAACCCTCAAACCCGAAACTCTAAAGCCTTAAACCCTAAACCCCTAAACCCTCAAACCCAAACTCCAAAACCCCCGCAAAACCTCGAACAGCCAGAAAACATGTATCTTGAATTTGGGTGGTGGTTCCTTTTCGGGTCCCTACTATAAGGCACTTACGATTTAAGGTACCCAAAAAGGGACCCCAAATTTTGACAACGACCCATTTAGAGGCCTCCTGAGCGCCTTGGTCCTCGTCCATTCCGAGTCCTCGGCCGTTGGTCTAAAAGCTCCCTTCATAGGGGCTTATGGGGTGTTTGGGGTTTTAGGTTTAGGGTATTTCGGGTTTAGGGTTTCGGGTATTTGGGGTTTAGGGTTTGAGGTATTTGGGATTTAAGGTTTGGAGTATTTGGGGTTTAGGGTTTAGGGTATAAGGTTTAGGGTTCAGGGCTTAGATTTGGTTGAGCGGCCCTTGCTGTAGAAGAGGTGAGCTTCGTCTGCGTCGGGCACAGCGAGCGTCACATGGCCTCGAGGTGGGGGGATACGGTTGATGACATAAATCCTGCCCTACCTTAATCACCCTAGACTATGGGAATAATGGTATATTCCTTATTACGGGTAGTGCAGGATTCATATGACTTGGGGCTTTTGATTTTAGTATTAAGGACTAGGGTTTAAGGTGTAGCGTTTAGGGGTTATGGCTTAGGGGGTGTAAGGTTGATGCTTAGGACTTAGGGTTTACGGTTTTGGGTGTAAGCGACAGCAGGGTTTAGGGCTTAGGGCATTTGAGGTACTAGGCTATCCTGAATGGCTCGTTTCGCTCATTGGGCTTTCTAAGGCAGCACCGAGAGATGCCAAAGGCAGCACACGATTTCGACGAGGCTCAGGGTTTAGCATGGTTTAGGGTTTAGGGTTCAGGGTTTAGGGTCAGGCCTATGTTCCGTATATTATAAGGCTGACAGCTTAACTTACAGAGAAAGATTGCAAGCATTCCACACTGGCGCAAGATCGTACACCTCGACCTGAAGCCTTCAAACATACGAGCTGGCCTTAATGGCACTGGAAGGCTGTACAGGAGTTGTATAAGATGCAATATCCCATGTACAAGCGTTCTCCTTGCGTCGCTCAAGACGGATCGATTCCTGCTTCTGGGTCTAGAATCCTTCAACACCGCAAAGCCCAGCAGAGCTCTGAGGAAGTGAAGCTTACAAACTCTCTCCGACACCCCAATTCCACCTGTAAACCCTTTCAAGCCCGGCGTAGTTTAGGTAGATGTAAGGTTTAAGACTTTGAGTTTAAACCCTGAACCCCAAACCTTATCGAACTCTTATGTGACCCCTATAAACCAAAGCCCCCCTTTGTCTTCCAGCTTTTGCCTCCCATGTTTGAAAAACCCTTTTCCAGCGCAGACTCACCCCGCAAGATCTTGAAAAACCCATTACGTAAGTGAAGCCTTGCACAACCAACCTTCATGAGACAGCCCTCAAAAATCCTACAAAAACTCTATTCCACCTTTGTCAAAACCTTTTGGAACCCTACCTACCAGACCTTCTAAACACCCTTCGAAAGCTTCCGAAACCCTTGTAAAGAAATCCCTTATCGACTCCCGAAGGCACCTTATGAGCAAGACCTTGCAAAATTCTAGGCCCCTATTCACCACCCCGACAACGGACCTCAACTGACTTGTGCATGGTCGCGCATGGGAAACCTGCCTATGGTCATACTTGGACAGATCCAAGACCCAAACGGCACATGCAGTCACTACGAGCTAACAAAGGACCTAACCCTGAACCCTAAACTTTAAACCCTATGCCCCTATGCTACCCATATAAAACCCTTTAAAGGAACTTTAAAGGAACCCTTATGGTACCCTTTTGAGGGACCCCTGAAGACCTCAAAAATGCCGAAGGGCCCAGTAGGAAGAAAATGCCGAAGGGCCCAGTAGGAAGAGGCTTCCGCTTGGCGCCGGCTGCTGGTGGACGTCCTGGTGCTTTCAGTCGGCTTCCAGGGTTTAGGGTTTAGGGTTTCAGGGCTCTAG